CTGGGGCCGAGGCGCCACCGCTGCCCGGTCCGCTTACGAGGAATGCCACTCTCGCTCCACGGGAGTGAGGGCCCCACAGCCCCTTCCCTCAGCCGGGGCCGCGGCCCGGGCCTGCCGTGCGTGGTGCGCCCGCGCTGCTGAAGCCGCCCATGGAGAGCGCGTCCACACCCACCTTCTGGAAGCAGAAGATAAGCAATCGCCACACAGGGAACCCTGGGCGCGTGGTGGCTCTGCCCGCCGGACACCAGCCTGGTGCCCGGCTCAGCCGAATCCCCAAACCCCAGAATCCCAGTGACGGGCCGTGGGGTCGGAGACTGTGCAGGCAGCCCCCGCCTCGGGCCTCTGCAGAGACACAGGTCACCCTGAGGGAGAGTGAGTGTGAGCGTCGGCCAGGAAGCAAGTGGGAACACCAGCCCCCCAGACGGTGGGCGCTGGGCCAGCCAGGACCGGGGGTGGGGGGGGTGTTAGCGTGAAGCTGGGATCCATGGACTTTAAGGTGGGGTGGAGGTGGCGGCGATAAGACGGACAAGTGGGTCTCCCTGGCGGTGCAGGGCCGGTCAGTGCTGCCAAGCTACCTGCGCGGCCGACCCCTCCCGTCTCCCCGCTGTCCCCTCAGCAGTGGGTTTCAGTGGATCCGCCTGTTCTGCGCCCCGCTCTGTCTCTGGGGAGTCCTCTCACCCCCCCCCGCACCTCCGGCCTGTACCCCAGTTCTTGTGTGCATCAATAAATAAAATTAAAAAAACAAAACCAGGAACTAGACGCACTGACTGTACACTGGCAACTATTACAAGCAGTAACCTCTTGAATTCGACCAGCATCATTAAAATCCCTAACATGGACAAGGAGCCGTGGTAGTAATCCATGCGTCGCCTCATGAAGTGCCTTTTGTAGCAAACTCCACGGTCATCTCCATGCCTAGTAAGTGGGGAGCCCGTGTTTGTGTCCTAGCCCAGGTCACCCCAGGGTCCGAGCCTTTAAGTCACAGTCATTCAACAAACATCTGCTGCCCGCGCGCTGTACCAGGCCCCTGCCGGCGGGTCCGTGCAGCTGACCCGCACCCATGCAGTGTCACAGTCCTGCCACGTGGGGCAGCGGGAGCCTGGAGGGGACGGTCCACCCCAAGTTACCAGGGAAAGCCTCAGCAAGAAATCAAGGGCAGTCGCAGGAAACGGAGCCCGTGGACATGGTGTGGGTGCGGCCACCGCTTCCGCAGAGACGCCGCCCAGCGCCCCATGGGCACTGCCACCCACTTAGCCACCCGCAGGGAGAGCGGATTCCTGGTAAATTATTTTCAAATCATTTGACACCTGGAAAACCAGCATCTAGGAGGTCACCGTGGGGAAGAGGGACACTTTGGCCTCTGTGCAGTTGCTTTACGAGTTAGCATGTCTTAAACACGAGATACTAGCTCTTCAAAGGACAGCAAGGCGAATACAACCACATGTGTGCCTGCTGCCCACTTCAGAGTTATGTCCACGGTCACCAAGGATTTATTGATGTATCCAAGAGCTGGGGTGCGGCCAGAGGTGTGGGGGTGAGAGGACGCCCCAGAGCCAGGGCAGGGAGCAGAACAGGTGGACCCACTGAAATCCACTGCTGAGGGGAGCAGCCGGGAGACAGGAGAGGTCTGCCGCGCCCTGTGGGGAGCTCCCTGGCCGGCCGGGGATCGAACTCGTGCTGCAGAGGCTGCGGACAGCTCCATAGCCCGGGACATGGGCTTAGCCCCTGCGCCGCCAGGGAGGCCCTTATGAACATTCTAGTCACAGATTTAGATTTACAGAAAGCTTGTAGAGACGGTCCACAGGTTTCTCTCATTCCCACCGCCCTGCCCCAGGCTCTACCCGACAGGGGGACGGCGTGTCTGCCACAGCGACTGAGCCAATGTTGACTCACATTTAGCCCAAGTCCTCACTTTGATCCGATTTTCTGCGTGTTTGCCCGACACTCCTCTGTCCCAGCAGCGCCCCCGGGACGCGGCGCTGGCTCAGGGCCCGCGTCCCCGCGGCCACGCTCGGCTGCCACGGGACCGGGCGCCTCTGTTCCCCATGAGCCGGGCCGTGCGGTGTTTGGTGGACTGTCCCTCACCTGGGGTTGGTGTGACGGCGAGGTGAAGCGGGGGAGGCCACGGGGACGGCACGTCTCTGTCATGGCAGCCCACCCGATCCGACCCGCGCAGCCGAGCCGCCCCCCTCCTCCTCCACTTGCGAATTGACTGAATCGTCTCTTCTCACCGCCGGGAGCCGCGCCCCACACGGCGGGGGACTGTCCCTAACTCTTTCCTCTGTCGCTCGGCTAGTCCCAGCTTTGGCCACCGAGAGCTCCCTCCTCCGCCCTCTGACACACGCTGCTTTTTTAGGGCGTGCGGGTTTGAGCACTTCTCTCTCTGACGTTACCAAATGCCACCGTCGCCTTGTGCATTTTCTGGCCGCTTCTAGAACCAGCCATCTCTCAAGGGAGCTCTGGTTCCTTTTAATGGAAAAATCATGTTAAAAAAGCAAGAGGTGGGGCCTCCCTGGTGGCGCAACTGTTAAGACACAACCCATGAAACTATCCGCCGCCACTGGAGCATGAGTTCGAGCCCCGCCAGGGAGCTACCCACAGGGCGCAGCAGACTCTCCTGTCTCCCCGCTGCTCCCCTCAGCAGTGGATTTCAGGGGATCCTCCTGTTCTGCTCCCCGCTCTGTCTCTGAACCCTCTCACCCCGCACCTCTGGCCTGTGCCCCGGCTCTCCTTTGCAGCAGGAGGTGGAGCTGGTTGCTCACTGCTCCCGAGACTTTAGCTTTTGATCAGGCGGTGCTCGACCTCCCGAGCTAGAGCCTGTGGGGTGACGGCAGAGATGGCCCGGGTGGGGAAGCACCTGTGCAGAGGCCGCATGTTGGAGGAACACAGTTCCCGGAATCTGGAAACAGCTGGAGAGGCTGGAATTCACGGAGCAGGAAAGGGACATCAGGTGGGATTAAGAGGCAGGTGAGTCTCGACAATGTGCCGGTCCCTCGCGCCATCTTCTGAAGAGTATTTTCTGAAAGCTCGGCTCTGTGGAGCGCGGGAGGCTGGGGCACGGCCCTGGGGAACCGCGCGGCCACGTTAACTTGGATGCTTTTTTTAAAAAGGTCGGAGTTATTTCAAGTTTCGCGGAGCCCAGGCAGGCATCCAGCACGGCCGCCCCGCGGGGACCCCCCAGGCGTCTCGGTTTCCAAGGTGAGGGACAAGCGGTCACTGTGAGGAATGCCATCTGCTCAAGCAGTTTGAGCCAATCAGGTTTAATCAGATCCAGGAAGTTCCTTTCTAGTTCTCGCTTTCTCAAACTTTCTACGAAGGCCCGAATGGATATTGAATCTTATCATCTATCTAAACGGACGTGTGATTTTATTCCTTTGTTTGTGAACATGTCAACCTATATTACTTTTCTAATTTGACACCACCTTCTTTTTCTGGTAGAAACCAACTTTGGTTTCGATGCATTATCCTTTCATAAATTGCTAAATTGTTTACAGTGATAACATGTTCGGGATTTTGAATCCACAGTCGTGAGAAAAATTGGCCGGAAAATTTGTGATCAGGGCTAAGCATGTCTCATCAGAAGAGCTGCCACAGGCTCCCTCGTTCCCAGCTTTCATTTTCTGTGTGAATACCTTTGTTTCTTCGTTTTGTTTATTTATTTGATTTATTTATTTATGTGCATTCAAGAACTGGGGTACAGGCCAGAGGTGCGGGGGTGAGAGGATTCACCAGAGACAGAGTGGGGAGCAGAACAGGCAGAGCCACTGAAATCCACTGCTGAGGGGAGCAGGGGGAGACAGGAGGGGTCTGCCGTGCCCTGTGGGCAGCTCCCTGGCCAGGGATCGAATTCTGGCCATTGCAGTGACAGCCTGAGACTTAACCCCTAGGCCACCAGGGAGGCCCCTAATTTTTTTGTTGTGGTGGTTATTTGATTTCCAACTTAATGCTATTACAGTCAAAGAACATAATCAATCCTTTGAAATTTGTTGAGACTTATTTTATGTCTCAAACATGCTCAGATTTTGTAAACATGCTGGTGCTTCATAAATAAGCATGGTACTCCAAGAGGCTGTGCATTGCACAGTTGTAACTCGCAGTGCTTCTATATGTAACAGGTACATTATACATTGATTTTTTTAAGATTTGTTTATTCATGCACACAAGAACTGGGGTACAGGCCAGAGGTGTGGGGGGTGAGAGGATTCACCAGAGACAGTGGGGAGCAGAATAGGCGGATCCACTGAAATCCACTGCTGAGGGGAGCAGCGGGGAGACAGGAGAGGTCTGCTGCGCCCTGTGAGTTGCTCCCTGGTTGTGATCGAACTCCTGCTGCAGGGGCTGCTGATAGGTTCCTAGCACTGAGACTGACCCCTGTGCGCCCAGGGAGGCCCTGCTTCCTCTCTTTATGCCCACACAGGGGTGAAGTCCTACCTTGTCTTTCTCTGCCTGTCTTAGGTCACTGAACACACAGTTCCCTATAGGCCCATCCTATAGGGCTAGAGGATGAAATGGCAGGATTTCATCTTTTCTTTTTTTCAGGGCTGAGTAATATTCCACTGCCTCTATTTACCACACCTTCTTTACCCGTTTGTCAGCTGGGGACCCTTAGGTTGTTTCTGTTCTTCTTCCCTCTCACATTGCACTGATTTGCCCCTGTTCTACCGCACCACAGAATTTGGGGTGTGCAGCCCCCACCTCCACATGCATATGCTTCACTCACCCCCCACCAGCCCAGGTGCTCCTGGACAGATGCCGGGAGAAGCTGTGTGTCCAGTTAAAGCAGTGCACCAGCCACGTCCTGAGACGAGACAGAGCCTCGAGACGGGGCTCGGCCTGAGGCCATGTGTGTGCCAGACAGCCCAGCGTCTGCAGGCTCGGCCACGGCACACAGGCTGGCTGTTTAGGTCTCGTCTTGAGAGCACACGAGGCTGGAGCCCACGTGCATCTCGCCGAGCCCTGAGGGCGCCCGGGGGCCGCGTGACGGTGGTGGTGGCACCTACCTGGCTGACTTCGACGGCAGGAGGCTTCCATTCCTCCAGAACTTTGCAGGGCAGATCCTGCTCAGGGAAAGGCACGCTGCTGCTCAGGCCCTGGGGAGGGAGGGGCAGCCGTGAGTCAGCGGGCGTCCACACTTGAGTGGGGGCGCCCAGCTGGACAGGCAGGTGTGGGCTCCTCACCCTGAGCCTGCGGGTGGCCTGTGCATGTGTGTCGGGGTGTGTGTGGATGCATGTGTGTGTGTGTGTGTGTGCACACAGTTGGGGGACAGACCAGGGGCAGCGGCAGGGTGCTGGGGGCATCTGTGTTTGGAGCCGAGGGCCTCCCAGGGCTGTCCCGGCCATTCTGCAGCCCGAGTTCATGACCGGCAGCTGCCCTGGTCTCAAGCCGAAGACAGTGACTTTGGCTTCACTGAATGGACCTGGCTCCGGGCACGGCCGGGCCAAATACAGGGGCCCAGGGTCAGGTGGAGCCTGCGTGGGTCTGTGCCAGGTGAGCGGGGCGGCGTGAGACGGTCCCGGGCTGTGGGCGTGCGCCAGGCTGGCTCTGGATGGCAGAAAGCCATGCCCTCAGAAGCCCGCTTGCCCTGTCCTGGGCGGGCAGAAACGCGGGCCGGGAGGGCCCAGGATGTGTCTTGGAGGGGCAGGGTTGCCGGGCGTGGTGCAGCTGGAGCTGTGGACGCCACGGCCAGAGGCCTGCGGGGCTCCTGGACAAGTGCGGTGCCTGGACGCCCCGCTTTGGGCCCCGCTTTGGCCCCGGAGGCCGTGGACACCCTCCTTTCCAGGCCTCTGCCCAGCACCCCCGCGCAGCTCCCCCGGTCTCCCCCGCATGGGCACAGCCAGCACGAGCTCAGGAGTCTGGAGCCCGGAGCAGGGGAGGAAGCTGCGGGGAGCTTGGAGGACGCTGGGCTCGCGCGCTGGACACAGAGGCCAGTGCCTCGGGACGGCCGGGCGGTCGGGGTGGCCAGTCACCCCCGGCCGCCTCTCGCGGGTGCGGCCGACACCAAAAAGCAGCCGCGGCGTGTGCTCTGCCACCCCCGCCGGGAGGGAGACTCGCTGCAGCGGGAGCCCACCCCGCCCGCCCCGGCTCCCTCCGCCGTCCCTGCTGGCCGTGCCCGGGACCCCGGGCTGAGGGGGGCGTCCGCTGCCGAGGCCCGCGGCCCCTTGACCTTCACCGCCGGCCCAGACGCCAGGGGTCCCCGCCTGCCCTGTCACACTCTCGCTGGCCCTGCGAGGGGCTTTCGGGGCCCGCAGACCCCGCGTTTTGTTGGGGACCCTCCCACCCGGGCAGCCGGGAGCAGCTTGTCTGCACATTCGAGAGCAGGAGCCGCTTCTGCCAACTCACCCCTCCCCCCGCCCCATGGGGGGCTGGGCCTCAGCTGGGAGCGGGGAGCAGGAGGATGGGGGGGCAGGAGCCCCAGACTTTGAAAAAAGCAAAGGACAGGGCAAGAGGCCAGCGTGGCCCCTGCCTCCTCCCGAGGCGTGGACGGGGGCGCGTGGGGGGGAAGGGGCGGTGCATGAGGCACAGCCGCCCGGGGGTGTCCCGGACACTGTCCAGACCAGCAGAGGCCCCCCAGGGTGGCTTACCATGGCTGCTCCTGGGGGCCCCGCCGGGCAGCGCGCTGGCTCTCGGCTCGGGTGCCCCGGCCGGGCTGCTCCGCCAGGGCCTCGGGGCCACGCGCGGCCGCGTCTCCCGTCACCACCTGCAGCCGCGGGAGAGGGCGGCGGTCAGCGGGAGCCGCGAGCGAGGCGTGGCCGGGCCCCTGCTCTGGCCGGCAGCCGCCTCAGGCCAGAGGGCGGCAGAGGCCGGACGCGGTCCCGGGAGCCAGTGGCCCTTCGCGGGGCCGCCTCTGGGGAGGCCCACGGCCGCTCAGAGCCTGGCGGGGCGGGGGCACCTTCCCGCGAGCACCGGGGGGCCGGTGCGGCTGGAACGTGGGCACAGCGTGGCTCCTTCTTCCCTGCAGCCAGATGGGGTCCTGCAGGCTGACCTCACGCTGGCAGCCCACTCGGACGGCCTCTCTGGATCCTCGCGGGATGCCGGCTCCGGGGGCTCCAGTGTGAGGTGAGGGGTCACCCCCGCTGTGGGGGGCTCTCCGGTGCTCTGTGCCTCAGGGGTCCTGACCCCACCCTGGGACACTGGGCGTGGGCAGCTGCCCGGTCTGAGGGCGGAAGGAGCGAGTCAGCGACAGACACTTTGAGGCTCTGTGTCCGAGCAAGCGGCCTCGGCGAGCAGCTCAGCAGCAGCCCCGCCGCCCGCGCCCCGTGGGGCCACCACGCCTGCCCCTAGCCAGGCCGGGCTCGGTCTGTGGGCGGCTCCTCTGATGAGTCCCAGGGCCTGCGGGGCACGGCCCCTGGAGTCATGCCACGCAGGCAGGGCCCCCACACCCTGAGCGGGCAGCCTGGGGCGTCGCGGACCTGGGGCGGGATCCAGGTGGTCCTCGCTTTCCGGCTGCAAAGGGAATTGAAGCCCGGAGGGCCCCAGGCCCAGGGCAGGGGCCTGCCCACGACGGGCGTGGTGTGGGAGCTGCGGGGTCCCGGGGCTGGGGCGTCGGGGTGCTCGTCTCTGCTCTCATCCAGGCTCCCACGAGCCGAGTCCTTTAAGCCACGATGGTCCTGGTCGGCAGACCCGCCACCCTGAGGGCTGGCCGTGGACGGCAGGCGCAGCACACGCGGGGATGGCCAGCGCGGCCTGGAGGACCTGCCTCGGCAGCTGTCCTGCAGCTGGCCCGGGAGGGGCCCTGCCTGCCCCCGGCCCCCGTGTCCGGGCCCTGCCGGGCTCCTGCTGTGGGCCCGGCCTCCGCCGCTCTGGCCTCCCACCCCCAGGTCTCCGCCATCACCTCCTCCTTCCTGGGGACCCTGGCCCGCCCCGCCCGGGAGAAGCCCAGGGCAGCCGCTGGCTTGTCTAGCCCACGAGTGGGACTCACTTGACACCAGTCAGACATGGCGGGAGAGTCCGTGCAGAGAGAGGAGACCTCGGCTCTCCCGGAGGAGGAGGCTGAGAACGGGCATGGCAGCCCACAGTGGGCCAGGCGGCCCTGGGGCCTCGTGAATGGGACCCGGGTCCTTGCTGCCCCAGCGTCCGCCGGTGAGGCCGCAGAGAGGGGCCGGGCCCCAGGAAGGCCCGGCCAGAGTCCGGCCCGCACCCTCAGGTCCACGCCAGAACTGCGGGCAGCAGGGCCTGCGCTCCCAGCCCGTGGGGTCTGAGCGGCAGCTGGGGCGCGAGGACAGGGGCTGTCCGGTTCACACCATCGCTTAGAACCGGGCTCAGCGGCATCGGACACGCCCCGGCTTCGTCTGAACGTTTGCGTGGCTGGAGGAGGGGGTGCGGCTCCCGCCAGAGCCAGAGATGCCGAGAGGTAAGGGGAGTGACGTCTCCGCGGCATTTGCAATTTCTCTTTGGCCCCCAAGCCCAGGTGGCCGCGCCCTGGCTGTCTCGCCTTCTCCTCTCCAGCCCAGGCCCCCAGCGCCGCCCCCGTCCCGACACCGCGGCTGACAGCAACAGGCTGCTCCCCTGGCCTGGGGGGGGAACCCGAGGGCCTCGGCTCACCCCCACCTGTCTCCCAGCTGCTGGGCCGCGGAGACACGGGACCTCTGCTAACAGGCGCCTTTGTCCAAAAGCCGCGCTGCAGAAGACGCGGTCGCCCGCATGGCCGAAGGGAGCGGCCAGGCCAGGCCAGCGAGTGCCGTCTCCACCCAGGAGGGCAGCACAGCCCCCGCGATAGGCGCTGGGGGTGGCGGAGGGGCCGGGGCCTGCTGGTGGGTTGACTTAGAAAAACTGCCAGAGGCTGTTGGATGAGGACCTCGCCGGCCCCTCGCGTTCTCCCTGGCGACCCCCATGGGACTGCAGACGTGGTGATGCCGACGCGGCCCTCGTGGGAAGGTGCCTCTGGTGTCCTCCTGGGTCCCCGAGATGACTGGCGCTGACTCGGAGCTCCTTGACTTTCCATGCCTGCTTTCCTGTGCTGTCTGCGGGTCTCCAGCTTCTTGCTCAACTTGCAGTAGCTGCGAGTGGGGGCGTCGCTGCCCCAGGCACGGGAGAGCCCGAGGTTCAGGGTCCAGTCCACCCTGCGGGCTTGGACGAGTCTTCGGGGACCGGGACATCCTGGAGGATCTGGGAGACCTTCTAGGCGAGCCCCTGGGTGCCTCTTGTATCCCGCTGTCTCTCCTGCCTGCTCTTGTCCCACCACTGCCGTCCCCAGGACGGTGCCTCCTGGACTGCCTGGGACTCTGCGTGGCCCCCTCTCCTGTGTCTCTCCTGGTGCCCTGCCTGGTCACAGGGAGACCCGTCCTTGGGGTGACAGGCTCCCCAGGGCTCCCCACGCTTCCCTTGCTGCAGCAACCGCTCACCTCACCTGAGACATCGCCTGCGATTTGGGGCGCAAGGACGGTGGTTGCGCGGACCCCACGGGTCCCTGAGGCAGACGGCTGTGTCGCAGCCTGATCTGCTTTGTACGAGAGAGCAGTTCGGATACCCGCCGCCTTTGGCTTCTGATGAGGAGAACACGTCATCCGACTCCCGGAAAGCGTGCGGCTTTTCCCTGCTGTTTTTGAAGCTGTGACTCTGATCAGTTGCTGGAACGCAAAATCCCAGGAGAAAAAGAAGCAAAACACGCCAGGGATGAAGGAGAAAAGAGCAAAACAGAGTCTTTTTCAGAATGCAAGCGGCAGGAACTTCCTCGCGCGTCTCCCGCCTGTCTCCGGGGTGGAGGATTCCGAGGGCGTCGCGGAAGTGGAGAGCCGAGGTCCAGCGGGCGAGGAGACCGGAGACCAGGAGGACGCAGGCCTGGCTGCCAGGGGACGCGGGGCCCGGACTGCACGGCCAGCGAGCAGGAGGGCCAAGTCGCCCCCGCGGGCAGCCTGGCCGGCGCGGGACGCCGCAGCTCAAGTCGGAGGGGCAGGTGCTACCTGCGACGCTGGGCCCGAGGCCTGGGGACGCCGTGTCCCGTCCAGCAGCCACGCCGCCTCCCTTCCCGCTCACGACAGAGCACAGTGGAACCACCGGCTGATGGCTTCGCCTGGATGCCAGGAATTTCCGGCGTGGCCCCGGCCAGCAGGTGGCGGTGAGTGTCCGCTGGCCCAAAGGACGGGCAGAGCCCAGCGCCCAGTGTGGGGCCAGCTGGGGACCTTTGGGAGTCGGCTGGGCGCTGGGACGCCGACCCTGGCTTGCTCCGCAGCGGCCCCTCGTCCGCCCGTCCACTAGGGGTCGCGTCCGGCTATGGCCACGGGTTCCGGCTGCGGTGTGGCCGCCGGTTCCGGCTCTGTCCCCCGGGATCCTGTGAAGCCTCCGAAGGCCACGGGAGCGCCCCAGAGGCTGGCACTGCCATCCATGCCCCCGTTAGGCTTAGGGGCTGAGAGGCCTCTTGGGCATCGGGGACAGGAAGGTGCCGGGCTGCACAGACTCAAGGACCCAGCGGCCGAGCCCACGCGGGTGACCCAGAGCTAAAGAGAGCTGGCGCCTCTGGCCGGCCCCCCGGCCCGCGTCCCCTTGGCCTGAGTCCTCTCTCCACTTGCTCTCCCCGGCGCGTGCTCCTGGCTGGCGCAGCTCTCCTGGCTGGCGCTGGGGGAGGGAGCCGCAGGCCCCAGGAGAAGGGCGGGGTCACACGGCCTCGGCCTCCCCTATGCCCCCCGGAGCCCTCAGGAGCCGCTGCCGCCTGCAGCGTCACTCACACCCGCCCCGGGCCAGCTGCCCCTCTGGGCTTCGCTCCCCAGACTCAGCCCTGAGGGCACGGGCCCAGCCTTGTGTGCCCACCGGGCCCCCCAGCCAGGACGCCCCGGCCAGGGGACGGGGTCTGGATGCGGGTGGACACTGCGCGTCAGCAGAGACGAAAGGCGGCTGCTCTCAGCCAGAGGAGGGAGCCGGCGCCGGCGCGAGGGAAGGCGGACAGGAAGGGCAACGCGGCCCACCCACCGCAGGCTCCGGAGGGGGGACGCGCAGGAAGCAGGGGGTGTGGACGGACACTGCGGGGCCCAAGCAGGGGCGAGGGGCAGGCGGACAGGACACCGGGTAGGCTGGACCCGCACCTGCCTGCCCCGGCTCGGACAACAGCCGCCTGACAGCCCCGAAGGCCAACAGCGAGAGGCCACGGGCTGTGGCAGCACCCACGGGGCCTGCGGCCGGAGCCCACTCAGGCAGGGCCCCGCCGGGCAGGCCGCGTCGGGGTCTCCCGGCGCCACGGGAGGCCTCGCCCGGGACCAGCCACGGGCTGATTTCACCAACAGGGACGCGAAGGCTCCCTGTGGCCGCAGGCGGCCTCGCCCGCGTCCACCGGCACCGGGCCCGGGCAGCACCGGCCGGCAGCGCCGCTCCCTCCTCCGCGGCTCTGAGCCGTGGGGCGACCCCAGCTCTCGGGGCGCGCGGCCCGGCCCCGGGGGCGCTGCGGGCGCCCCTCCCTCCTCGGGGCACCCCTCCTCCCTCCTCGGGGCCCCCATGCTCCGCCGGCGCCTCCCGGCTCCCCCGGAGGGTGCCCCGCCACCCGCGGGGGCCGCGTTCCGGGCCGGGGCTGACCGCTCGCTCGCGCTGGGCCCGACTGGCCCCGTCCGGGTCCAGACCGCGGGGGCGCGGCCGGGCGCGCGGGGACACCCACCTGCCTCGGCCCCGGGCGCCCACGTCACCGCCGCAGGACGGGGCGCGGCAGGGGGGCTGGGGCGTCGCGGGCCCGGACCCCCTCGGCCTCTGTGACGTCGCGCCTCGCCGAAGCTTCCAGAAGCGGGTGGCCCGGGCGCCCCTCCGGCTGGCTGGGGGGCTGCGAGGCCGCTCCCCGCGTCCTCTCTCCGCCCAAGCCCCGGGCCCCGCCCCTGGACCGCGCCCCGTCCCCTAGGCCCCGCCCCCTGGACCCTCTACCCGCTGGACCCCCTAGCCGCTGGACCCCCTACCCCCTGGACCCCCTAGCCGCTGGACCCCCTACCCGCTGGACCCGCTACCCCCTGGACCCCCTACCCCCTGACCCCCTACCCGCTGGACCCCCTACCCCCTGGACCCCCTAGCCGCTGGACCCCCTACCCCCTGGACCCCCTACCCGCTGGACCCCCTACCCCCTGGACCCCCTACCCCCTGGACCCTCTACCCGCTGGATCCCCTACCCGCTGGACCCTCTACCCCCTGGACCCTCTACCCGCTGGACCCCCTACCCGCTGGACCCCCTACCCCCTGGACCCTCTACCCGCTGGACCCCCTACCCCCTGGACCCCCTACCCGCTGGACCCCCTACCCGCTGGACCCCCTACCCCCTGGACCCTCTACCCCCTGGACCCTCTACCCGCTGGATCCCCTACCCCCTGGACCCTCTACCCGCTGGACCCTCTACCCCCTGGACCCTCTACCCGATGGACCCTCTACCCGCTGGACCCCACCCTAGCGCCTTCACGCCTGCGAACCCGCAGCGCGGCCTTTCAGGGCCCATGTCGGGGGCGGAAGGAGGAGCCGCGGGGCGCGGGAGGCCGTGGGGTCGCTGCTGCGCCGGAGACGGGCGCCGGGGCCGGCGGGCGCGCACATGCATGCACACGCACACGCACACACGTACACGCAAGTGCACACGTGCACGCGGCGGGGGGCCTGGGCTGTGCTGCGGACACGCCTCCCAGCGCTGGGTCCCCCGGGGCGGGAAGGGACACTTCGTGCCCTCTGGGCTCAGGCCTTGCACGCTCGTGTGTGGGGTCTGGTCGGGCACTCCCAGGAGCCCCATGTTTTTGTTTGCAGCTGTGCATGTTACCTTAGGCTTCCTTGCTTGTTTTTTTAAGATTTATTTATTAATGCACTCAAGAGCTGGGGGGCAGGTGGTGAGAGGATGTTAGGGGAGAGGATGTCCCGAGCAAACCGGCAGGCTTCGGGCAGCCACCCCACTCCAGCCAGACCCTGGGGACTACAAATCCCAGGGTCCCCCAGGGGAGGGTGCGGACCTGAGGGCGGAGTTAGGCGGCCATCTTCTCAGTCTGCAAATAAAACCAGCCCTGTTAGTGGGTCTCGCACTTGGCTCTGCTCTTGGCCAGGCGGGCTTGGTCTCTGCGGGTCATTTGGGATTCCAGGTCGGGGGACCCCGTAGGACGCAGTTGAGACTTTATCTCCCTCTTTTCTCCCTGAGTTGTACATTTCCTCATCCCGCTTACCTTGCAAATAATCCCGTTAACCTTTTGTGTGTGCCTGCAGCGTGAGGCCCTTTTTAGCACACACGGGTGAGGACCCACAGTCAGGCAACCCATTTTATTTTTTTATCAGGGTTGCCCTCCGTCAGAGCCAGAGCGGGGAACAGAACAGGCAGACTGACGAACTACACTGCTGAGGGGAGCAGCAGGTGGGGCAGGAGAGGTCTGCTGTGCCATGTGGGTTGCTCGCTGGCTGGCCGGGGGTTGAACTCATGCTGTAGAGGCTACAGACAGCTTTACAGTGCTGTGCTTAACCCCTTGCGCCACTAGAGATGCCCGTCTTTTCTTATTTTTAAGGTTTATTTTATTTATGATACAAGAGCTGGGGCACAGGTCAGAGATGCAGGGGGTGAGAGGACTCCCCAGAGACAGAGTGAGGAGCACAACAGGTGGATCCACTGAAATCCACTGCTGAGGGGACAGGAGAGGTCTGCTGTGCCCTGTGGGTCACCTCCCTGCACCACCAGGGAGGCCCTCATCAATTATTTTTTAGAATTGTATTCTGTTAGTTTAACGGCTGTAACTTTTTTTTTTTTAAAGATTTATTTATGTCTTTATACAAGCACTAGGTACAGTGAGAAGCGTGGGAGGGTGAAAGAATTCACCAGAGCCAGAGCGGGGAACAGAACAGGCAGAATGACGAAATACACTGCTGAGGGGAGCAGCGGGCGTGGCAGGAGAGGTCTGAGCGCCATGAGGGACCCTCACCGGCTGCTGGGGATCCAACTGGCACTGCAGAGGCTGCGGGCAGCTTTGCAGCCCAGCGCTCAACCGCTACGCCACTGGGAAGACCCTTAACAGCTGTAATTTTTTTTTTTTTTTTTTTTTTATAGAGGCATGCTTTATTTATTTGTTTGCTGGTTTGCCTGTCTGTTTTTGTTCACACATGCACTGGGCACAGTCAGAAGCGCGGGAGGGCGAGAGAATTCACCAGAGCCAGAGCGGGGAGCAGAGCAGGCAGAAGGACCGAAGCACACTGCTGAGGGGAGCAGCGGGCGGCAGGAGAGGTCTGCGCGCCATGTGGGACCCTCCGGTGGCCGGGGAGCAGCCGGGGATCGAACCGGCGCCGCAGAGGCCGCGCGCAGCTTCGCAACCCAGCGCCCAACCGCTGCGCCACCGGGGAGGCCCAACAGCTGTAATTTTTAATTCTAGTGGTTTCTCTAGGTTTTCTAGTATAGAGCCGGCCCCAGAGTTGTTCAAATAACTAAGCATACGTGACCCCGCATCAGTGCTGGATGCAGATCCCATTATTACCTCTGGGCAGAGGAACAGTCTTTAGCCCTTGCTGCGATGCAGCAGAAGCCCCTGGGCGCGATCCCAGCCGCAGGCCCAGCAGTGTCAGGGTTGCCCAGATGAGCCCCTCACGCTGCTGAGCCGCAAGCACCGCAGACACGAGGGTGACTTGGAACCTGCTTTATGGCGGACATGCGTCGTGGGCCCCCACGGCCATCTGCAGCCAGTAGTCCTGGTTGCTGAAAATGACGAAGTTGTACAGATGGTCTCCACCACTCCCAAAGCCGTGCTCGAGCTCCCGCCAGGACACCGGGCTGTCCGCGAAGCCCTGCACAGACAGCGTGACCCACGGGGCCAGCTTGGGCTCGTCGAAGTAGCGGCTGGAAAGGAAGGAGCCACGGTCATCAGGGCCCGGGCACTAGAGCTCACTAGGAGCAGCGGTGCCTGGCGTCCCCACGACCACCCCCAGCTACCATCTCCATGACTGACTTCACCCCAGACGGTGCCCTGAACCCCTCCATCTGGTGTCCGGACAGCTTGCTCCCAGGGGGCAGGGTTCGGGGGAAGGGGTAGCTGGTGCCCGAGGTGGTCAGGAACAGTGTAACCCTGGGGGCGAGGGGAGGGCGGTGCCAGGGCGCAGGCGCGAAGCAGGACGCACCAGAGCTGATCCAGCAGGAGGCGGATCTTGGTCGGCAGCAAGAAGCCAGTGACAGTGCAGAGGCAGGCCTGGGCGGCCACCGAGCTGGGCTGGGGACAGCAGTAGCTGGAGACGAAGTCGCTGGGCTCATGGTCTCTGTCACGAGAGGAAGGGACACGCTGCTCCCACCGGCCCCTCCCGACGAGGCCCCACCCCGCAAGGCCCCTCCCTACCCACCACGCTCACGCACAGGCCCGCGCCGCAGAAGACGGCCCCCAGCCACTGCAGGAGCTCGGGGGCGCTGCAGGACACCCCGGGCTGCCCCCCCAGGGCCCCGCTCCGCAGCACGGGGCATGGCAGGTCCCTCACGGTGCTCAAGGCCACTCTGGGCTGGTGCTCCCGGATCCGGTAGCTGGAAAAGTGCGACAGCAGCGCGGACCCCTCGGCACCTGGGGAGAGCATGGGAGGCCGTGTGGGTGCTGGAGCAGGCGGGCAAACCCTGGCACCCCCACCCCCGTGGGTGTCTGGGCGTGGAGGGGGAGGCCGGGAGGCTGGGCCCAGCTGTATCCTGGTGGAAGGGGCCCCTGCCCCCGGGACAGGCAGCCCCCGGCTCCATCTCCCCGGCCCCAGGCGTGCCCGCACCCGTCTGGTGCCAGGCCAAGAGAAAATCAAACTTCAGAGGCTTCTTCTCCTTGAAGGACCAGGCCACCCTCTGGGACGTCTTCGAGTCCGGGTGGAGGGCCAGCTCCATCAAGTCAATGGAAACAACTGGAGAGGCAGAGAGGACAGGACACTCGCTCAGGAGCCAGCACGGAGGCAGCGCTGGGCTGAAACCAGAACGCCTGGGAATGTGGCGCAGCTTAAAGTCTCGTTCGGCTCCTGCGCGCCCCCCCCCGGGCGTCTGGCCCTGGGGCTGCCGACACCGGTGTCTGAAAGTCAGAGGCTGGAATTGCCAGGGACCAGTTCTATTCCACCTGGACACTGGGGTCCAGCCACATAGCCGCAGAGGCTCACCTTGGGCAGGTTTCTACTGCGGCGACCCCGGGGGATCCCCACTGGCGCGCTGGAGCCTCTGCCTGCAGCCGTGACTGCGAGGTCCTGACCCAGACACCCCCGGTTCCACCCCTCGGGTGCCTCCCGAACACGAACACGCAGTTGAAGTCGCATGTTAGGCCCGAGGGTGCGGCTGGTGGGAAGGGTGGCAGGAGGGGCGGGGCGTCACGCACCGTACTTCGGGGTGCTGCGGCCTGAATGCTGAGACGGGCGGCCCTGCAGCCCGCACTCCTCGTAGGTGTCTTTATCCAGCGACAAAACCAGCTTCCCTGCAAGGCAGTCGGTGGCTGTGGGGGCAGGGCGCGGGTCTCCCGCCACGAGCCCAGCCCCAGGCCCGCCAGCACCGGGCAGGACATTCCTACGGCGACCCAAGGTGCTACACGCTCACTGTCCCTGTCACCACATCAGAGCACCCTTGCCGTGCACGAGGGGCGCTTGCACACACGTGCTTCTAACTTGTGGCACCAGAATGCACGCCCACGGGAACTGCGCGAGCCCGCAGTGACAAACGCAGGGCCCGGCCGTGACCATGTGGTGTGTGGAAATCGCCGTCCAGGCAGCACCGGGCATGCCCTGCCCTTCCCAGCTGGACACTGGACACGGGGTACCCGCCAAGGCGCAGGCGGGCAGAGCCGGGCGCGGGGTGGGGTCACTGGGCAGCCGGCCTGTTAGGAACGCCCCGGCCACACTGACAGATGCGCGGCCCAAGCTGGGGCGCGGCGCCCCGCGGCCCCTCCTGAGAAGGGGCTGAGTCGGGCCTGCCCTCTCCTGGCCCGGGGGGGGCCTTACCGCTGGGCAGCAGGGCGACCGTGCTGTCCTCGTCCACGCGGGTGTTGAGGCTGAGCGCGCAGCAGGTGCCTGTGGGGCGGGGGCATCAGGGACCCGCGCAATGTTGGGGACACCCCGCTCCCAGCCAGGCCGGGGGCAGCCCCCTCCCCTCCAGCACTTCGAAGGCCGGAGTCAGCACGTGAGGAGCCCCGGGGCCCCGAGGGCGGGGGGCAGGGCCCAGCGGCCTCCCCCTGCCCGCGCCGACCTTCCTGGACGAAGGCGCTGATGAACCCCGGGGCGACGAGCTCGTGCAGGGGCAGGTCCTCCACCGAGTAGTAGGGCCCGAGCCGCGCGACCAGGCCGCGGAGCGCCCCCGGCAGCGCCCCGCACTCGGGCACCAGAAGGGACACCTGCGGGCGGGGGCGGGTCAGCGCGCGGCCCCGGCGCCTCGGACGCCCCGACCTGGGGCCCGTCGCAGGCCGTGGCGGGGCGCGCCGGCCCCCGGGGGCGCCGGCCCCGGGTGACCGCCCGCCGCGCCGCCGGCCCACGTGGGGGAGGCGGGGCCGCCGCAGCCCTCGCCGCGCGGCGCCCGCTGGGAGCTGTAGTCCGGCAGCGCGGGCCGCCCGCGGGACTACAGCTCCCGGCGTGCCCCGCGCCCGCCCGCCCGCCCGCCCGCCGCGGCCCCGGAGCTCACGCGCCGCGCTCACCCTATAGTTGTGGTGGTGCGTGTCCACGAGCTGCCGGTGGCGCGACTTGTCGTGGGCGAAGCTGGACTTCTCGCAGACCAGCAGGTGCCGGGGCGCCTCCCGCAGCCGGCGCAGGGTGGCCATGCTCTCCCCGCGCAGGCGCGCCGGCCGCTTCCGGGCTCCCGGGCCCGCCCTGCCCCGCCCCGCCCCGCCCGTGACCACGCCCCGCCCCCGCAGGCCCCGCTCCTCCCTCCCATGACCGCGCCCCCGCCCCGTCAGGCCCCGCTCCTCCCTCCCATGACCACGCCCCGCCCCCGTCAGGCCCCGCCCCTCCCGTCAGGCCCCGCCCCGCCGTCAATCACCGAGGCGTCCCGAGGCGGGTCCCACGCGCGACCCGCCCGCGCCTGCGCCGTGGCCGCTGCGGGGCGGCCGCCTGTCATCCCGCCGCCTCAGCTTCTAAGATTTTTTTGATGTTTTACATCATTGTTCATTTTTATTTCATATTTAAAAAGATTTGTTAATGCGCTCAGGAGCTGGGGGTGCAGACGGGGACCCACCGACCCCCACCGCCGCGGGGCGGGGCCGGGGGCGGGGCCGGGGGGCCAGGGCCGCGGGGCGGGGCCGGGGCCGGGGGGCCGGGGCCCGGGGCCGGGGGCCGGGGGCCGGGGGCCCGGGGCCGGGGGCCGGGGGCCCGGGGCTGGGGGGCGGGGCCGGGGGCCGGGGGCCGGGGGCCCGGGGCCGGGGGGCGGGGGCCCGGGGCCGGGGGCCGCGGGGCCCGGGGCCGGGGGGCGGGGGCCCGGGGCCGGGGGCCCAGGGACGGGGGCCGCGGGGCGGGGCCGGGGGCGGGGAGCGGCTGCCCCCCTACGCGGCTCCCCGGCGGGGCGGAGCTCGCCGCAGCCTCGCGTGCTGTGCCAGCCCCCGCGCCCCGGAGGCCCCGCTTCTGACGGTTTGGGGAGTCCTCGGGGTTCCCCACGCACGGGACGTCCCCTGCGGCAGCGGCGGCCCCTGTGCCGCCCGGCGTGGGCGCCCGAGTCCCGCGCGTCTGCGCGCACCGGCCGGCCGCGGGTCGGGGCCAGGGCCCGGGCAGGACACGCGGGAGGCCGGACGGGGCGGGGGCGGGGCGGGCCAGCAGACCCCCCACCTGCGGGGCGCCGGACGGGGCGGGGCGGGCCAGCAGACCCCCCACCTGCGGGGCGCCGGACGGGGCGGGGGCGGGCCAGCAGACCCCCCACCTGCGGGGCGCCGGACGGGGCGGGGCGGGCCAGCAGACCCCCCACCTGCGGGGCGCCGGCGGGCCAGCAGACCCCCACCTGCGGGGCGCCGGGCTGGGCGGGGGCGGGGGCGGGGGCGGGCCAGCAGACCCCCCACCTGCGGGGCGCCGGGCGGGGCGGGGCGGGGCGGGCCAGCAGACCCCCACCTGCGGGGCGCCGGGCGGGGCGGGGGCGGGCCAGCAGACCCCCCACCTGCGGGGCGCCGGGCGGGGCGGGGGGGGGCGGGGGCGGGCCAGCAGACCCCCCACCTGCGGGGCGCCGGGCGGGGCGGGGGCGGGCCAGCAGACCCCCACCTGCGGGGCGCCGGACGGGGCGGGGGCGGGCCAGCAGACCCCCCACCTGCGGGGCGCCGGACGGGGCGGGGCGGGCCAGCAGACCCCCCACCTGCGGGGCGCCGGGCGGGGCGGGGCGGGGCCGGGCCAGCAGACCCCCACCTGCGGGGCGCGGGCGGGGCGGGGCGGGGGGGCGGGGCGGCAGCAGACCCCCCACCTGCGGGGCGCCGGACGGGGCGGGGCGGGCGGGCAGCAGACCCCCCACCTGCGGGGCGCCGGGCGGGGCGGGGGCGGGCCAGCAGACCCCTCACCTGGGGCCGGACGGGGCGGGGCGGGGGGGGCCAGCAGACCCCCACCTGCGGGGCGGCCGGACGGGGCGGGGCGGGGCGGGCCAGCAGACCCCTCACCTGCGGGGCGGCCGGACGGGACGGGACGGGACGGGCGGGCGGGGGCGGGCCAGCAGACCCCTCACCTGCGGGGCGGCCGGACGGGGCGGGGGCGGGCCAGCAGACCCCTCACCTGGGGCGGGCGGGGCGGGGGCGGGCCAGCAGACCCCTCACCTGGGGGCCGGACGGGCGGGGCGGGGGGGGGCCAGCAGACCCCCACCTGCGGGGCGGCCGGCGGGGCGGGGCGGGGGCGGGCCAGCAGACCCCTCACCTGGCCGGGCGGTCGGGCGGGGCGGGGCGGGGCGGGGGAGCAGACCCCTCACCTGGGGGCGGGGCGGGGCGGGGCGGGGCGGGCCAGCAGGCCCCCCACCTGCGGGGCGGCGGGCGGGGCGGGGCGGGCCAGCAGACCCCCACCTGCGGGGCGGCGGGGCGGGGCGGGGCGGGGGCGGGCCAGCAGACCCCTCACCTGGGGGCCGGACGGGGCGGGGCGGGGGCGGGCCAGCAGACCCCTCACCTGGGGGCGGGGCGGGGCGGGGGCGGGGCCAGCAGACCCCTCACCTGGGGGCGGGGCGGGGGCGGGGGCGGGCCAGCAGACCCCTCACCTGGGGGCCGGACGGGGCGGGGCGGGGGCGGGCCAGCAGACCCCCACCTGCGGGGCGGCCGGACGGGACGGGGCGGGGCGGGGCGGGGCGGGGGCGGGCCAGCAGACCCCTCACCTGGGGGCCGGACGGGGCGGGGCGGGGGCGGGCCAGCAGACCCCCCACCTGCGGGGCGGCCGGACGGGACGGGACGGGGGGCGGGGCGGGGGCGGGCCAGCAGACCCCTCACCTGGGGGCCGGACGGGGCGGGGCGGGGGCGGGCCAGCAGACCCCCCACCTGCGGGGCGGCCGGACGGGCCAGACGGGGCGGGCCGTGCCTGGCCAGCAGGGCCCCCGCGGCCGCCCGGTCCCCCCTGGCCGCATCCCCGCGAGGGCTGGTCCTAGCGCTGCAGGCGCCCCCTCTGAAGCGGCGCTGACCGGGGCCCCCCGCGGCACGGCAGCCAGGGAGGAGAGCGGGGCAGGTTCTCCGGCGCGTCCTCCCGGCACAGCCCGCGCGGCGGCTCCAGGGCCGGCCCGAGGGCAGCGGCGGGCGGGGCGGGCGGGGCCCGGCAGACGCCTCCATCGCAGGACCCGCGCCCCGGCCGCCGCCCGCCCCGAGGCCCGGGTGCCGGGTGCGGGGCGGGGCGAGGGCGCGGCCGCCCGACCCTGCAGCTGCCGTCCCGGCCGGCCACCCCGCGCGGGCCCCGAAGGCCGGGACGAGGCTCCCGCCGCGCGCCGCGGAGGTGGACGGTGTCCCGGCGCGGCGGGTCCGCGTGCGGAGGCCGAGCTGCCCGGGCACCCGCGAGGGCGCAGCCCCGCCGGGCGGGCGCCTCCCCGCGCAGTCCGCGGGGCCCCGGCAGCGGGCGCCCGAGCGCGGGCCGGGCGGCGTCGGGGCGCCCAGTGCTGGTGCCGCCTGACCCGCGGGCGCGGCCGCGTCCACGCCTGACCGCAGAGGGTGGGGTCTCGGGGACCCCCCCCCGTGCTCTAGGGGCAGGGGCAGGCAGCCGGGGCTCCAGCAGGGACCCGCCCCCCAGGCGGTGCAGGCTGGGCTCCCGCCGCTGGACGCCGACACCCCGGGGGCCCGCGCCCGGCAGAGGGCGGCCTGCCCACCCCGTCTCGGGGGCCGGGGCCAGCCGGCCTCTCCGAGCCGCCGCATCCGGGGCAGTGCGCGGGGGCCGGGTCAGCGGGGCGCCGGCTGGCGCCAGGGAAGGCACGGGGGCTCCGGCGGCCCCTGGGGTTCCCGCCAGCCGACGCCGGAGCCGGCTTGCTGGGGCCGGGAAGGCCCGCGGGCGACGGCCTCGCGGCGTGGGGGCCAGCTGCTGCGGGTGCCCAGCGCCCGCGGGCCCCAGAGCCGGGCCCCCCGCCACCTGCCCTGCCGGACTTCGGGGCCACCTCTGGGCGCGCGCGCAGGGGCGGTCCGCTGCCGGGGAGGGTCCGCCGCCCACCGAGTCCTCGAGCGCCCGGCCCGGCAGGGGGACGCCCGCCCCCACAGCGGCTGCTCTGCCCGGGCGCCCCCGCGGGCCCCTGCAGGACGCGCCCTGCCTGCAGGCGGGCGGCGGGGCTGGCACGCACCCCGCGAGTCTGTGCAGCGTCTGTCCCGGGGCCGCCTCAGGCCCCGGCGCCCGCGCAGGGCTCGCCCCTGCACCCCCGCTGGCGAGCTGGGCGCGCGGCGAGTGGACACGAGGCCCGTGTGGGGAGGGCTCGGGCGCAGCCGTTTATTTCGGGGGCCAGGACGTCCGCGGGGCGGGGCGCTGCGGGGTCGCCCGGCGGCTCGGGGCGCGGGGCCGTCCGTCCGTCCGTCCGTCCGTCCGGGCTAGGCTCGGGGCTCCCGCGGCTGCTCGATGACCAGCTTCCCGGCCGCGTACAGCCGGCCGACGTGCACCTGCGGGGAGACGCGGTCAGGCGGGCAGCCGGGACCCCCCATCCCCGCCCCGGGCGGGCGGCGCGTCCCCAGGCGGCTGTGCGGGCGCGGGGCGCACAAGGGCCGGCCTTCGGGGCCTCGCCCAGGGCCGGGGGAGCGTCCGGGGCCCTCTTCAGGCCCCGCCCAACCCCGGCCGCCTCCGCCTGGAGACCGCGGGGCAGTGGCCGCGCCGCGAGCCGTCCCGGGGCGCCCGCCTTTCCGGGCGGAGACGCTGGGGCCAGCCCCGGGCCCCGGATTCACCGGCGGCGAATCCCCGCCCCCCCCCCCCCGCACCGGTGGGGCCCGGGGGCCCGTCGGGGGGGTCAGCAGCGGCCGGGGCCCCGCCCGCCCCATAAGCGCGTCTCCGAACCACCTGCCGGGAGCCCCGCACTGGCGGGCGCCGGCAGGTCCCGGCCCGCGAGCCAGAGGGGTCCCGGCAGGGCTCCCCGCTCTGCTGCCGCCCCCAGCCCGGCCAGGGCGAGGACCGGCCTCCCGGCCAGGCCAGGCCGGGGTCCCTGCCCCGGAGACGCGGCCTCCTTGCGCGCGGACCCCGGGACCGGCCGCCCCGCCGGCTCTGCCCGGGTTTCCAGCGTCGGGCGCGGGGCGGGGCGGGGCGCGGAGCCCCCAGGCTGCCCGGTCAGGCCCGCCGCGTCCTGGCCCCGACGGGGCGGGGCAGCCAGGGCGCCTCGGGGGCGCCTCGGGGGGCTCAGCGCAGCCCGCGGGCGGGCGCAGGGGGCGCGGGGCGGGCGGGGGCGCGCGCCAGCTCCCGCCGAGGCCCCCCGCCCTGCCTCGCCCTGCTCGCCCGCTGCGTGGGGCCCCCCCAGCCCTGGCCGCACCCCAGCCCTGGCGCGCGCGAGCGGATCTTTAGTAGAGAAGAGACGGCGCGGGGCGAGCCGCGGCGGCGGGAGAGACCCCGGGAGCCCGGGGCGCGGCAGGGGTCCAGGAGACCCCGGGGCCCCCACCTGCCGCGTGACCCCACCCCGAGGGGCTCGGCAGGACCCGGGCTCCGGGAGCCCTGCCCTCCCCGGACCCCGTCCTTGAGCCAGGGCAGGAGGGCGGGGGCCGGGCGCACCCCGCAGGGGGCGAGGCTCGGAGGGACCCCAGGGGTGCCTGGCCCCGGCTCCGCCGCCCCGACCCGCCGGGCAGCCGCTCCCGGCCGCTGCTCCCCCGCAGCACGGGAGGGCGCCCCGAGAGGCCTGCTCGGCCGCGGCCACCCCGTCCGCCGCCCCGTCGGAGGCCGCGGCTGCGGGCGGTCAGTCGCGGGAGCCCAGCCGGGCAAGGCGCGGGCAAGTCAACCAGGCGCAGAAGCTGCCCCCGGGGAGGGCGGGCAGCCCTGGAGGGACCGGCACGCCCGGCGAGGCCCATGTGTGATGAGGGACCTTGCAGCAGGAGTTCGAGCCCCGCCAGGGAGCGACCCGCATGGCCAGACCTCTCCTGCTCCTGCCGCCCCGCTCCCCCCAGCAGTGAACCCCGGTCCTTCTGCCCCCCCCCCCCGTGAATCCTCTCACCCTCCCGCGCTTCTGGCTGTGCCCAGTGCTTGTGTAAATACATAAATAAATAAATAAATCTGAAAAAATAAGTTAAAAAAGATACAAATGAAGTGGAAATGAACTGGGATAAGGAGCGTTGAACAGGCCCACGGGGTCTCCCCCAGGCCTGCTCCGTTAACCTCCTAAAGCTCGTCTAGTTAGTCGTGAGCTTCCTCCAGCCGCCAGCAGGATCCCAGCCAACCCCACAGCCTCACCCAGCCCAGCCACCCCGCCCACCAGCCGACTCCAGCCAACCCCCTCCTAAGCCGACCCCCCAAGGCCTCCACCCAAACCCACCCAACTCCGCCGGCCTAAGCCCACCCAAGCCAACCCACGCGGCCTGACTCAGTCCAGGCCAATCCTCAGTCAACCCAACATAAAACTCGGCCCAGCCCAGCCCCTCTCCAAGCCAGCTCCACCCAACTGAACACAACCCAGCCCTCTCCGCCCAGCCCAGCCCGCCCAGCACACCCGCCCGGCAGCCCAGGCCGGAGGTCTGTCACTTTGCTGGCATTAGGTCCTGCGGTGATTTCTCAGGGCTCTGTCGTGGGCTGCTCGTCTCTAGTGTTCATTTTACCCCCTTTTGCCTTTTTAAGTGCTGCTCCCTGTAGATCGGAAATGGCATTTAGCACCTGCTCAGCAAACGGTACGCATCATAAGAACAGCTGTCCTGTGCATGCGGATGTCCTGTGCATGCGGATGTCCTGTGCATGCGGATGTCCTGTGCATGCGGATGTCCTGTGCATGCGGATGTCCTGTGCATGCGGATGTCCTGTGCATGCGGTCATGCTCTGGATGGTGAGCACAACTCACCTTCTGCCCGCTGTCGGGAAGTCGCTGGGTGCACACGCGCGCGCACACACGCACACACGCACACACACAGCTGACTCAGACAGTGCTCAACGCCGCGTCACTGGAGGAAGCGCTGGCTTGCCTGGGTATGAGTCCCTGGGCTCTGGTCCAGAGCACCAAGGTTCTGGAGGAAGCCCCGCACTGGGTTTCTAGCAACGGATGAGGCATACACTTTGGGTTTGCTTGTTTACGACAGTTGGCTCTTCTTAAACCACAGCTATGAAGAGAAAACAGGTAAGCGCATCCCGCACCGTGTCTTCGGGAAGAAACGAGAAAAACGCAGACGTCTGTGTCAGCAAGCACGACGAGCGCAGATGAACGAACGGGCGGGGGCGTGTCCAAGGGAGCCCGAGCGGGCAGGAAAGGCTGCAATTAAGCACAACGTTCCCACGGAGGCTTAACTGCCAGTGATCTCAGGCCTTGAGGATCACTGCTCGGGCTCATGTGGTTATGTCAGAGGAGTAGAGGGTGTCCTGGCATCTAGGGCGTCGCCTGTCTTGGTGTGAGGACAGGACCCAGGGCAATGGGCGTGGACTCTGAGGCTGAAACCTCACGGAGACTGAAAAGAAAAGGCAGAGGGCTGAGGGGGAGGGACGGCGGCCGAGGCGTTCAGGGGTAGCTGACGGTGTGCCGGCCTCGTGGCTCCTGCGGGGTGTGCCGCGCGTGCAGGTGAACCGACGGGTACCTGGAGCAGCCCGTATGGGACTGTGCTTCCTGCCTAAGGAGACCCCCGCGCCAGGGACAGGTGTCTGGGAGGCGGCGTGGCGCTGCGCTCATGTAAGAGTCTGTGCTGGATCTTTGCAAACGTGCTGAAAAATTCAGGGGCCAATGGCTCGGGAACAGCAGGGCAGCGGGAGGAGCACGAAGGCGGATGGGCAGGAGGGCGCGCGGGAGGGTGGGCCCGGTGCTCCCCGCGGCACGCCCGCGGTGTCAGTCCACGGGGCCTGTCCAGGCGCGACACGCACCTCGCTCGGAGTTAGGCACACGGTGGCCGAGGTGACACGGGCTGGGCCGCGAGGCGGCCTCTGGACTGCCGACGAGTCTGTCTCCTGACTGCACAGAGCGTGCCTGTCCTGGGGCCTGGGGCACGCCACGGCAGGAGCACCAGGCGCTCGGCTGCTCTCGCGCACTTTCCTGAAACCCGTGTCCCGCGTGACCGACCCATGGGGGCATCTGCTGACCCCGTCTGATGAGCTGTGCAGACGGGTAACAGCCCATTTCATGGCTGCTCGCCCTCCTGGCCTCCTTTCATTCAACACAAACTTGCCAGAGGCGAGGGGACGGCCCTCTGCCCCGAGCCGCCCCGCTGCCCGGCCAGCACACGCGGCAGACCCGGGCCCGGCTCATCCGCGGGCTCTGCGCGCCTGGGCCTGGCCGCGTCTCGGCACTCAGGACCAGCCTGAGAGGCGCGGGCAGCAGCAGGAGCTCCGTGACAGATGCCACCCTTTGAAGGAGTCAATGTGTTCAGAGTCGCTGTCCTCCCCTGTTAAGTTCACCACAGCCCAGACGAACACATGGAGGCGCCACTGGCCCATGCGGCCACGCAGAAAAGGAGGACGGGAAGGACCTGCAATCACGTCGTGTCATGTCTGAAGCCTCTTCGCCACACATTTAGCGTTGACTGAGGGCCTACCATGTGCCAGACACCGCCAGTGTTTCTGAGCACAGGGCTGGGGTTGGAATACACAGGCAGAACAGAAAGTCAGTCACGAGGCAACAGCAGGCCTCACGGGAGCCAGCTCTCAAGTGACGGGCAGCTGCTCCAAGAGCTGCTCCAAAGGCGCTGCACGGATTCAGCTGTGCACCCATCGAGATCCCACTGGCGTTCCTCACAGAAAAAGAATAAACACCCCAAGATCTGCTGGAATCACAGAAGACCACGAATGGCCAAGCCACGCTCGAGAAAGAACAACGAAACTGGAGGCACCACGCGCCCCCCACGCCAAACTGTGCTGCTCGGCTATACCCTCAACGTCAGCTACACCCGCAAAGCCGCCTCCCCCGAGCTGCCGGGCGCACATGGCGGCGGCGGCAGCAGCTGTGGAGACTGGACGGGCTGAGCTGAAGACGGCCAGGGTTTCTGGGGGCCGGGCCGGAGGGACCAGGGCGCCCCCGTCACCAGCAGCCGGAGGGCAAGGTCTTGCCACGACGCCCGTGACCCGCCGCACCCAGCGGCGTCAGCTCCGCCCTGCGGGCCTCCCCGTGCGCCTGTCCTCAGAGGCCCAGCGCGGCCCGGCCGTGGCTCCAAGACTGGCAGGAGCGCCAGGACCCGAAGGGCGCGCCAGGACCTGGCAACGGACGCGGCTTCATTCTGACAAAACAGAAGCTGCAGCTCGACGCGGCTTCCCTCTGGACCGGCCGAGGTGAAGCACGGCGCAGGGCCGGGGCTGGTGTCTGCAGCCCTCCTTCTCCCGCCCCTTCCCCCGTCCGCCCACCGTCTCCCGGGAAGGCCTGGGAGCCGCGAGGATCTGTGTCACGCTGGCGTCTCCTGACGAGACACCGGATGGAGACGGTGCCCACCGGCCGTGGCCACACGCTCGGGAAGCAGCAGGCCAGGAAGACGGGCTCAGAGGCGAGGTGGGGGGGCGGCCTGGGGAGGGCAGGCTCAGTCCAGGGCACTGGGTGCACCAAGGGTGTGGATACCACCAGCGTGGGGTCCCGGGTGGGGCTGGTGCCCCGGGGCCTCACACCCCGGCGTGGCCGCACTGCCTGGATGTCCCCGAAGTGGCCGCGTGCCCAAGGAAGGCGCCGCGCTCTCAGCCGGGCCTGTGGGGCACGAGGAGGCACAGAGGCCACGCGCCCTCCCGCGTCCACAACGCCCCCCACGGGCGGCTTCCCCGCTGCAGCCCTGGTGGACACGCGGCCAGCGGAGGGCTCGGTCCCAGCCAGCGGGCGTGAGTGAGGGTGCCGGGAAGCAGGGCGCGCCGGGGAGGCTGCGCACCGGCGCTTACCTGCCGGCGGATCATCCCCAGGTCCCGCCGGGCCTTGGCCACTAGGGCCTGGATTTCTGCGGGGTCCTTCACGTCCTTGTTCCCTCTGAAGGCGTCTCTGATCCTCCGGATGGCGTAGGTTCTGGACAGGGTCAGGGACGAGAGGAGGCGTCAGCGTGGCCAGAGCCAGGGGCGTACAGGACGGAGAAGCTTCCGCTTTGGGGCCGACTGCTCCCACCCCTCGGGCAACCCCCCGGGGCACCCCACACAGGCCCGGCCTGCTCGTCCACGCCCCGCCAACCGCGCGCCAGGCTGGCCCCAAGGATCCCGCGTTGGACAGCGAGAGCAGCTCGGGGCACCAGCGCGGCGCAGCACACCCAGGGAGGACGCCGCCTTCCTGGAGTCGCCCGCGGTCACTGGGCCTGACGCGATCGACCTCGTGCCGAGAAACCATTTGCCAGACGGTGAGGAAGACGCGCCCGGCCGAGGGACGCAGCGCAGGGGCAGCGAGGGGGGGGGGCGGCCGCTGGAGAGCAGGTTGGGGCGGGGGTGCGGCCCTGATGCTGTGGGGGGCGGAAGAGCACCCTGAGACGATGGGAGCAGAGTTTACAGAATGTGTCAAACAAGTTAAATATGAGAACACAAAACCAAGTCCCAGGGGCATCAGCCAAGACAGCGAGTGCGCTGTCCTCGGTGCTTCTGCGCCGCCCTCCGAGGACAAGGTCACGAGGGGCGGGGGAGTGGGGAGAGGGTTGGGGTACACGTTCCAGAAGCTGGGGACCGGCGGCGAGGCGGGTGCAGCCAGCCGGGCCCCGCGTGGCAGCAACTCCAAGACGAGGCTGAGGCCCAGACGGGGCAGGGCGGGAGGTCTGAGCAGATGCGGCTGCCGCAGGGAGGCAGGACAGCGCGAGGGGGGCCAAGCAAAGCTCCGGGTTGGCTCCGTGCCTCCCGCCCCATGTCCGGGCCTGCTGACGTCGTTCTCACGCCTCCTGCTACCCCCAGGCAGCCCCTTCGGTGGGGTTCACACTGTGACCCCAGCGTCTGCTAACAGTCAAGGACGCTTGCAGAAACCAGGAGCTGCTAACACAACATAGAGAAATGGCGTGCAAGCGAGAAGAGCGAGCAGGCTCCCCGGCCCTAGAGCAGCAACTCCACGGAACGGCTGACGCCGGCCAAGGAAGGAGCCAGTTTTTGAGAGAGGCCCGGCCCTTAGCAGCCGGCCAGCCTCCCGGGAGAAGCGCCGGCGCTGGGGCGGATGCGGGCCTGGAGCAGCCTCCTGATGCAGCGCTCTGGAGCCGCTGCGGCCAGCCTCCCTGAAGAGGCTGTGCAGGGTGCCCTGCGCCCTGGGGCGCCCAAGCCCTGTTCGCCCAAGTCAAGCCTGCAGCTATCACCTCGCTCCACCCGCACAGCCCCGGCGTTTCGTCGCACACGAGATCTTTCAAGACGCAAACCAATCTACGGAGGCGGAGGCGGAGGCGGCCGGTCGGCGCCAGCTCCCGCCGCGGGCACACAGGCGAGGCAGCCCGCACGCGGCCAGGGGCCAGCAGCACTGGCGGGGACCAGAGCAGGGAGGGCTACGCCCTTGACCGCTAGCCGCAACCCGCGCCACGGGGGAGCTGAATGCCCTCCTGCCCGCGGCAGGCCCCGGCCCACCGCCCTGCCGGGCTCTGGGGAGGCCACGCTGACCACAGTGACCTGCAGGGGGGCCAAGGTGACCCGCTGAGAGATGCACGGGCCTGGGGACCTCAGGAGCGGTCCAGGCCCCCAGCACAGCTGGGCTGCGGGGGGCCATGGCCCGCCCCATCCACCTGTGGCCACACGCACGTGCCCTCTGCCAGGACGCTGACACTCGCCAAGGGAGGCCCGCACGCTCTGGGTGCCACAGACGGGCGCTGCAGCCGTGCTCCCTCAGGCTCTCCCTGAGGGGCAGAGCCCGGCAATGATGGGGCAGAGCGCGCCAGCCCTGAATACGCCACTTGGGATTTGGGTATCTCAAGGCGAGGGCAACTGAGAACAAGCAGGGGCAGAAACCCTCCCCCCAAAGGGAGCAGCAGGAGGCACAGGTCCTGAGCCCCCTCCAGCCGTCCAGGGGAGCAGCGAGGACCCAGCAGGAGCAGGTGCACAGCCCTGCGGCGCAGACTCCGCCACAAAACCGGGCCAGTGAATGAATCAGCAGCGACGCTGACATGGAACCACTTTCAAACGCCTTCCCTGATGGCCGGAGCGGGAAAGGACGCCTTATTCTCCCCACCCGAATTCAGGCTGCGGACGGTCTTGAAGGCCGGCTCCTCCCCGTGAGCCGGACCATCTGCGCCGGTGCCTCAGCGGCTCTCCCCGAAACACGCCAGGAGCGGCGGGAAAGCTGCCCCGGGGACGCTCCCGGCCTGTTAGCGGCAGGGCCGCCGGCCTTCCGCAGCCTGGGAACCGGCTTTGCCTGGGCACAGAGGAGGCGCCTGCAGTGGCGGGGGAGGGTGGGGAGGCTGGCAGCAGCAGGTCCAGCTGCGCCGCGTGACCCCACGGGACCCCACGCAGCCTCGGGGCTGGGCTGGCAGGAAGTGGGGGGCGCAGCGGCCCAATGCTGCCCACTCGGGGCCCAGCCTGCGTGGAAGCGGGCCCGCGGGGGGCGCTCTGTCCAGGCTCCTGCGGGGACACGCACGGGGCAAGACTTGCGGAGTGAGCCCCCGGGACTCGCTGGGGTTTGAGGGGGCCTGCCCGCCCCCCGGCCTGCGTGCCTGGCGCCTGGCCGCCTCACTGAAATGGGTGGAGAAAGATCATGAAAAGCCTGAAAAAGCCACCGAAGACTCCAGGACTCCCCTTTACCCGTCCGCCTGGACCATAGAAACTGCCCCGTGACCTGCAGGCGCTACCATCACCCAACGCGCCAGCAACCCCCCCAACACCTGTAATACCAACCAGTCACCCCGACTCTCTGTCCACTTCCACCTCCCACCCCGGTCAGCGTCGCGGGTGAGCGGAGGCGGCCGGAGCCCAGGGCCCACAGCGGCCCCACCTGGGCGCCTCACAGCCTCGGCCCGGCCCCAGGCGCACACCTGGCAGGCGGGAACCCGGGGGACTCGCCCGCGGTGGGGAGAGGCGGCCAGCTGGGACCGTCTGCTCGCGTCAGCTCACAGGGAGGCAGAGTTACCCCAGGACCTGCTTTTCACGAGCAGCCGTGACTACACAAGGGGCACAGGGAGGGAGCCCCGGCTCTTTAGGTCCACGGCTTCAAGAGACCAGGTGGAACATGACCCGGCTCCCTGGGACGACACGTCACACGTGGGTAACAAGCTTGGCGCAAAAGCTCACCCTCACACTTGAACACCGCGTTCTGGGTGTGCATACTAGCAGAGGCCCATGTGCACACGCACTGCCCGTGCCCGCCTGCCCAAGGCCGCAGTGATTTCTGCCTCCCCCGTCCCTGCACAGCGCCTGCTCCCTGAACCCCTCCACGTATAGATTTCCTCGCTTGGCTCAGGAGTCATTTCCCCAATGCAGTTTTAGAAAAGGGAGGGTCCATCGAGGTGGGCGCATCCAACAGGCTACTTCTACAAGCAAGAAATTGAAATAGGGGCCTCCCTGGTGGTGCAGGGGTCAAGTCTCAGGCTGTCACTGCTGCAGCCTGAGCTTGATCCCGGCCAGGGAGCTACCCACAGGGCACAGCAGACCCCTCCTGTCTCCCCGCTGCTCCCCTCAGCAGTGGATTTCAGTGGATCCACCTGTTCTGCTCCCCACTCTGTCTCTGGTGAGTCCTCTCACCCCCTGCACCTCTGGCCTGCACCCCAGGTCTTTTACAAATAATTTTTTTTTTTTTTTAAAGAGTGGCCTCCCTGGTGGCACAAGGGGTTAAGCGTCAGCACTATGAAGCAATCTGCAGCCACTGCAGCACGAGTTCGATCCCCGGCCAGGGAGCTACCCACAGGGCGCAGCAGACCTCTCCTGACTCCCCGCTGCTCCCCTCAGCAGTGTGTTTCAATAGATCCACCTGTTCTGCTCCCCGCTCTCTCTGGTGAGTCCTCTCACCCCCACACCTCTGGCCTGTACCCAGTTCTTGTGAGCATAAATAAATCTTTAAAAAAAAAATTGAAGTGCTGAGAAGGCGTGACCCAGCCCAGGCTGGGTGTCCTGGGAGCTCGCACATCCACGCTCTCCCCGCCCTCTCTTCAGTGTGGGACCTGCACCCTGACTCCCAGTTGGTGTTTCTTCTCCGTTTATTTCACTGGCCAAAAATTTCTCCCAGACTGCAATGAAAGTGATTGTTTCCCCTTGTTCCCTTGCACACTTCATGGGTCCCTTTGTCAGAGTCAGCTCAGTCCGCGGGGCTCAGTTTATGGTTAATATCATTCATTCATTCATTTATTTGTACAAGCACTGGGGTACAGGCCAGAGTGGGGGAGGGTGAGAGGATTCACCAGAGACAGAGCAGGGAGCAGAACAGGCAGAAGGACTGAAAGCACTGCTGAGGGGAGCAGTGGGTGAGACAGGAGGGGTCTGCTGCATCATGTGGGTAGCTCCCTGGCCAGCTGGGAATCGAACCGGCATTGCAGAGGCAGCAGGCAGCTTCACAGCACTGCACTCAATCCGCTGCGCCACGGGGGAGGCCCTGTGGCACAGCAGGTTGTATCTTTTGTTGTTAAAACCCCACCAGTATTCCTGTGCTGGGCTCTGCGCCCGGGACCCCAGCCCTGACACCGGCCAGTCACCCCAAGTGAACTGGCGTAGAGAGCTGAGCTGTTGCGACTTTCCTTGGGGAACATGGCTGAGACTCAGAGAGATCAGGTAGTTAATAGGAGACGCCAAATCAAAAAGGCAGAGAGTTGTGGTGTTACAGGGCAACCCTGATATAAAACGGTGTTTTAAAACGTGCACGTAAAAGGGCCTCACGCTGCAGGCACACACAAAAGGTTAACAGGATTATTTGCAAGGTAAGCGGGATGAGGAAATGTACAACTCAGGGAGAAAAGAGGGAGATAAAGTCTCAACTGCGTCCTACGGGGTCCCCCGACCTGGAATCCCAAATGACCCGCAGAGACCAAGCCCGCCTGGCCAAGAGCAGAGCCAAGTGCGAGACCCACTAACAGGGCTGGTTTTATTTGCAGACTGAGAAGATGGCCGCCTAACTCCGCCCTCAGGTCCGCACCCTCCCCTGGGGGACCCTGGGATTTGTAGTCCCCAGGGTCTGGCTGGAGTGGGGTGGCTGCCCGAAGCCCGCCGGTTTGCTCAGGACATCCTCTCCCCCAACAATGGCCCTGCAGGGCCGAGGGCTCAGGAGTGGGCGGAGGTGACGCTCTGGGGGATTGAGGCGCAGGAGGTGACGGACAGGGGCCTGGGCCTTTCCCTCTCCCTCCTCACAGACCCGCTCTCCTGTGGCAGGGCAGCAATTCGCACCACCGCTGGGCGAGCTGGGGCGCGAGGGAGTGGGGGTGGCAGGGGGCAGGGGGAGGGGGGTGCAGAGTGGGCCTCCAGCCTGTGGACAAACGCTGCTGGCTGGTCACCATGGGCCATGCAGCTCCACCCGGGGAAGGAGTGGACAGGCGGGGGGAAGGAGAGGTCACCCGGGGAAGGAGTGGATAAGTGGTGGGGAAGCAGTGGACAGGTGGTGGGGAAAGAGTGGACAGGCGGTGGGAAAGCAGTGGACAGGCGGTGGGGAAGGAGTGGACACCTGGGGAAGGAGTGGATAGGTGGGGAAGGAGTGCACAGGTGGTGGGGAAGCTGTGGAAAGGCGGTGGGGGAGGAGTGGACACCCGGGCAAGGAGTGGACAGGTGGTGGGGAAGCAGTGGACAGGCGGTGGGGAAAGAGTGGACAGGCGGTGGGAAAGCAGTGGACAGGCGGTGGGGAAGGAGTGGACACCCGGGGAAGGAGTGGACAGGCAGCAGGGAAGGAGTGGACACCCAGAGAAGGAGTGCACACCCGGGGAAGGAGTGCACACCCGGGGAAGGAGTGCACACTGGGGAAGGAGTGGACACCCAGGGAAGGAGTGGACAGGCGGTGGGGAAGGAGTGGACAGGCAGCGGGGAAGGAGTGGACACCCGGGGGAGGCGTGGACACCCGGGGAAGGAGTGGACACCCGGGGAAGGCGTGGACACCCGGGGAAGGAGTGCACACCGGGGAAGGAGTGGACACCCAGGGAGGGAGTGGACAGGCGGTGGGGAAGGAGTGGACAGGCAGCGGGGAAGGAGTGGACACCCGGGGAAGGAGTGGACACCCGGGGAAGGAGTGCACACCGGGGAAGGAATGGACACCCGGGGAAGGCGTGGACACCCGGGGAAGGAGTGCACACCGGGGAAGGCGTGGACACCCGGGGAAGGAGTGGACACCTGGGGAAGGCGTGGACACCCGGGGAAGGCGTGGACACCCGGGGAAGGCGTGGACACCCGGGGAAGGAGTGGACACCGGGGAAGGAATGGACACCGGGGAAGGAATGGACACCCGGGAAGGAGTGCACACCGGGGAAGGCGTGCACACCCGGGGAAGGCGTGGACACCCGGCGAAGGAGTGGACACCCGGGGAAGGCGTGCACCCGGGGAAGGAGTGCACACCGGGGAAGGAGTGGACACCCAGAGAGGGAGTGGACAGGCGGTGGGGAAGGCGTGGACAGGCAGCGGGGAAGGAGTGCACACCCGGGGAAGGCGTGGACAGGCGGTGAGCGGGGCCAGCCCGGTCCCGGCGGGCACCCCGAGTGGGCGCGGGGACGCGTGCCCCCGCTTCCGCGCAGGGTGGCGCCCGGCCCCGCCGCTCACCGGTAGCTGTAGGCGCTGAAGCGCTGGCTCTCCCGCAGCATGGCCCGGTACAGGCCGAGCACCTGCGCGCGGCTGGAGGCTGCCATCTTGGGAGGGAGGCGGGCGGGCCGCGGAGGGCGCGGGCGGGGCGCGGGCGGGCGGCTCGGGCGGGCGGGCCGGGCCGGGCCGGGGCGGGCGGGCGGGCCGGCTCCGACCCCAAGCGCCTGGGGCTGAGCGCGCGGCGCGCGCGGTGTCCGGGCCCGACTCTGGCGCGCGCGCCGTCGCAGCGCCGCGAGGCCCCGGGCGGCCGCGTTGCCCGGGTGACCGCCGCCCCGCCCCGCCCCGCGGCTGCCCTCGGCGCTGCCTGAGCGGGCGCGCGCTTTCCGGCGGGCTTCCCCTCGGCTTCCGCGCGGGCCCCGCTCGGCCCCGGGCCCCGAGTGCGAGGAGCCGGCCGCGCGCACGGGCGGGCTGCGGGGGGCCCGAGCGGTCGGCCCGGGGTTCCCCGGCGCTCCGGCTCCGCGCAGGGCGGCCGGCCGCGGGGCCTCCCGCCAAGGACCCCCCCCGCAAGATGGCCGCGCCCAGCGCGCGCGGAGGCTCGCCCTGAGGCGGCCGGCCGGAGTCCCGCCCGGCGCGATCGCGGCGCCGCGGGCTGCGAGACGCCCGAGCGGACCCCTCGGCGGCGGCGGTGAGCGCGGGGCGCGGCGCGTGGGCGGAGGCGCGGGCCCCCGGGCTCCGGGTGCGCGCGGGGGACGCGCCGGGCTCGGCGGGGCGGGGCGACGCGAACTCCGGGGTCCCCGGGACGCGGGCGCGCCCCGAGCCGGCGGGCGCAGCGGGGCCGGCCCCCCTGACCTCTGCGGGTCCCCCGCCCCGTGGCGGGGCAGGTGCGCGCCCGGGGGGCGGCCCGGCCGGGGGGCGGGTCCCCGAGCTCTAGCCGGAGGCTTCCCGCACGTGCCCCGAGCCCGAGGACCGGCCTCTGTGCGCCCCCAGGATCCCGGGGTAGTCCTGGGGGTGACCCCCGCAGGACCCCGAGTCAGCGAACGGGCATCGCCGTGGCCTTCTCTCCCACCTGCGCCTTGGGCTGCCTCCGTGTGGGCTGCCCGGTGCTGGATGACTCTTGCTGCCCCGCACCGCGGCCTCGGATCTCAGGACCCCGGCGGGGGAACAGCCAGGCCGGGGGTCGGGAAGCAGGGGTGCCTGCAGCTGGCAGCCCCGGCAGTCGCCCTGCACCAGCATGAATGAAATAAAAGGCTGGAAGGCAAGATACTGGTGATAAAGTTCTCTCAGGCTTCCGGTGTGATTTTGTTTTAAGGTCTCATTCAGGCATGACTGCCAAGTGAGGTGTTCCTGCGGGTGGAAGGCTCTCGCTCCCGCAGTTGACAGGTTGTGCAGCTTACGTTGGAGTCAATGGGACCTGAACCTGCGGGTCACTTCGCTTCTCGAGCAGAAGGCCAGAGTGGACCACGGCGACTTTCTGCAATGGAGGTTTTCTTCTGGAGTGGCCACCGCGGGGAGCAGCACAGAACCGGGCACTCCTAAAGCCAGGTCCCCTGCCGCCCACGGAGAGGGCACAAAGGGGTCCTGGCGCAGACTCGGAGGCTTCAGCTGATCTAGGCAGCTGGCCGCTGTGGGTATTGTTGCTTTGGACGACTGCTTTGTGTTCTGAGTGATCACTACCCCCAAATGTTGTCTCTGGGGGACAGGTTTAGCCTATTACCAACTCAGGACAGTTGGGGGCATCAGTGAGCAGCTCCACATCCAATGGTCAGACCAACAAAGTCAGCATGGGCCCCGGCCTCGGGGATTTGTTTCACTGCCCAGGGGACTGGATGGATTCCGGCTCGAGAAGTGTTGGTCTATGGGACTTTGGGGGCTCGATGGAGAACACCTTCGATGGCTCAGTAGGGCCCAGCTGAAGATCAAAGCTGTCTTCTAGAGCGAAAATACCCACAGCTGTCAGTTACCCTGACTCCTGGGAGCCCCCAACACCTTCCCCCTCACAACCCCCCTCAGGCGGGGCCTGCTGTCCTGGCCCGAGTGGTTGTGCTCCTCAGGCTGAGACTTCCTCTGCAGAAACTCCTCGTGGTTCACTCTTGCCTTTCTGAGTGTCAAGCAAAATGAGTGACTGGGTCCGGGTCCAGAACGAGGATTTAGGGTTCGCTGGGCCTGCAAAGGAACAGCAGGCCTGCGGGTGTCCTAGGAGATCTGCTGCAGGTTAGGCAGCCAGGGAGGGCAAGGAGAGGCCCGCATGAGGTCTCTGGAGTAGTGTCCAGCTCCTGGGGCCACCGGGAGACTCGGGCAGGGTGAGTGGGAGGGTCTCAGAGCAACGCCACTGCCCGCCATTCCAGCAGCGGCTGCGGGTGGGGGCGGCAAGCGCAGTCCGGCATCGGCTACCTCGGACCTGTGGGTGGGCTTGTCCTGCAGCCATTCCGGGCTGGCTGGGTCACTGCCGATCCAGGCAGCTTAAAGGAGAACCTTGGAGCCCTTGGCATCGTCCCCACGGGTTTTCTAATGACCATGGAGGAAGCAGGCCAGGGGAGACAGCAGTTCTGGGTCCTGCAAGTCCCCAGACTGCTCCTCTTCCAGCAGCTCTCCACTGCTCCATCCACTGCCCGCTGCCCTTATGTGCTCCGGCCCAGGCCCAGGTTTGCCCATTCACGCAGGCGCACACCAGGCTCCAGGGGCTGCCTTCAGGCACGCATGCCGGGAGCCAGGCCCCCCAGCGCCTCCGGAATTCGAGGCCGCAGGTGATGGGCGCAGAGGCCACGGGTGCAAAAGCCTGAGCGCCTTCATTGCCCCACAGGGCGACACCCTCTTCAGGAAAGGGAAGCCCAGCGCTGCGGTTGTTAACTGAGCCACTCATGGGAGGTGCGGGCCTGCGCCGGCGCCGGGTCTCCAGGGCCAGCCGCGGGCCTTGTCTGGATAAGGCGGGTCAGCCGCAGTTGCTGTCAGATTTCCATTGTGTTGGATTTGCTTCTTTGTAAAGCTAACTGGGTTGTCTAGGAAATAGTGCAGATGTTCGTAGGCCCTGACATGTTGACTTTTACACTTTCATAGCTCTTTAGTCTCTTGAGATAAATTTACAATCCTTGTCTATTAACACCTCCTGAACAGACTTACCGCCTTTTTCAGGTCTGTGTGTTCACACGTGCGACAGTCAACACGTCCTGGGGCTCTCCGAGGTGCCCGTGTGTGGCCCCCACCTCACAGCAGCCCCTCCCTGAGGAAGCTAGAGCAGCTGCAGGGTCTGGCCTCGGGACCTGCAGGCCGAGGTCCCTGACCTGTGGGCAGCAGCCGCAACGTCCACCGTTGTTTTTCTTGCTGAGCTGCGTCAAATAGCCCTTTCTTTTAGAGGATCTTTTAAAGAACAAAATTAATGCTTTGCTTTCTAAAGGACAGCAAACACCTCTTCTTACTAGACGCCCCACCAACGTGGGACTCTGCTGAAGTGACAGTGCCGTCACTGGTCTCATCGTTTTGGGTACAGGCACAGCGGGCAGTGTCTCCGTGCGTCTGCGTCCAGCATGTTCATGGCCGCCGTGCCCACTGCACGAGCAGCTGCTCTTTCTCCCCCAGGAACTGTAGGGTCCCGACACACACCTCCCTGCGGCTTCTCTCGGCCAGGCTCAAGGTCAGGCTGACGGCTCCGGATGGGGGTGCTTGCCACTGCGTCCCTGTTCCCAACAGTTGGCTGTTTAGGGGACACGCTCGGGGTTGTGGGCTGGCTGTCAGAAAGCTGCCCCCTTGCTGACTGATGGCAAGACTGCCCTTCGGGCTTCTCTCGTCCTGTCCCTGAAGGCCAGGGGTGTCTCCAGTGCCCACCCTAAAGCCCTAGCGGGTGGCTGCGGCCCACACGCTTTGGGCTGCTGAGGCTTTAACCAATGTTGTGATGTAGAGAGTGTATTTCCCTTTTTGCTCCATTTTCTTCCTAATTGCATGCACTCAGAGTAGTGGAATGGTAATGTTTCATTCACTTAGCATCCATGGCGGACGTTGGCTTAAGTGTAAGAAAATTAGAATATATTTTTTTAAAGATCTTTTTATTTATGCATACAAGAGCTGGGGTGCAGGCCAGAGGAGCGGGGGTGAGAGGACTCCCCAGAGACAGAGCGGGGAGCAGAACAGATGGACCCACTGAAATCCACTGCTGAGGGGAGCAGCAGGGAGACAGGAGAGGTCTGCCGCGCCCTATGGGTAGCTCCATGGCCGGGGATGGAACTCCTGCTGCAGCGGCTGCCGATAGCTTCATAGTGCTGAGACTGACGCCTGCACCCCCTGGGAGGCCCCGTCTTTTAGGCCTCTTGTTATAAGAGATTCTTCCTTGATGTTTATTTCCTGTTGGTTGTTGCAGGATTTCAGGGAGCTATTGATGTCTGAAATTGTCCCATCCGTCCCCTTCCTCGAGCCGTCACTGAGCAGAGAGCACCCCGTTCTAGCCGCACGCCCTGGACGGACAACACATTGGGGCCAGCAGGTGCGTCCCGAGGCGCAGCCAGTCCCAGCCCGGGTCTCAGCCTTCTGGCTTCAGTCCGCGGAGGGAACCAGCAGAGGGCAGGGAAGCCTCGACTGCGAGGCGTCTGCCCCTGTCGGGGGAGGCCTGAGCTGCCCTGGAGACTCCGCTCCTCTGCCGTGGGGGCCTCCGGACCCCGTGACCCGGCGCCCCTCACTCGCGCCGCCCCCAGCGGCTTCCCCGTCGCATCACCCGCAGCCGCGCTCCGGGGCCGGTTCGAGGGAAACCGTCACATTTCCTGGTTGTGGTTCACTGACATCTGCTCGTATTTTCGGTGGCACATTTACAGTTTTAGCGAAACTTGTTAAAATAGTAGCTGTGACAACTTGGTTGAAGCAGACTTTCACACAGATTATTGTGCATTTTGTCCTTTTTCTATTTCGAGGTGGAAACTTAGAGTGGGGAAGAGAAATTCGGAGTCAGACATGTTTTTCTGCACCACTTCAGCACTTCTCACGCTCGTCCTGGGTGCCCCGCCGCAGAGACAGGCAGGGGGCTCTCTTGCCATCGGGGGACTTTTTAGGGTGTCAGATCACTTAATTTTGCCCAGCACTTCCTCCTCAGCAGCTCCTGCAAGATGATCATGCTTGCTAGCACCACTGCTGAGTGGTGCTAAGAGCCCGTCGGGCAGCAGGGCCTGATGCGGGTTGAGTGGGCTGCGGGCCGTGACGGAGGCCTCGGTGCTGCCTGGGAGGCAGCATCAGGGCCCCGGGGTGCCCGCTCCCAGGCTGGCGTGGCCCCACGGCCGTTGGCTGGACGGCCAGGCCTGCGGACGCCACTGTTGTCCTTCGCCTTCCGGGGTGCTGGATTGCCTGTAGGAGCAAGGTGGGGTTCAGGACCCTCTGCCCTAAAATGTGCGTGACTCTGGCAAGCCCACCCGCCTTTCTTAGTGGTGTCCCGAGGGGTGCTCGCAGGAACCCCACACAGACGGATCGAGAGGAGGCCTCAGGAGCGGAGCTGATCCCCCCCCCCACCCCGCCTCCGCTCTCACAGGCTCACCTGTAATTGGGGACCTGGCCACACCCCCGAGCCCCCGACTCTTCCTCCCAACCCCCGGGGGGGGGTGGGGGAGGCGCCACTGTTCGCGCGGCGGCTGTTTGGGAACCTCAGACACAGTCAGTTTCCTTGGAATATTGAGCAGCGAAGGATTTTTAGCCTGGAGGCGATTTATTTCATGTAAGTGATATTTCTAATTGCCTAAAATGGTTTTTAATATGCAGTTTAGTGAGTTGGCTTAAAACAAATTTTAATTTTACTTGCCGCCGATGTTCCGCTTGCTAAATTATGTCTGGGTGAAAACTTTATTCTTTTTCATTAGCCGAAGGGTCTTTTATTTGAAGACCGTTCTGCACGCACATTGGTCGGCTTCCCACGCGCTTACTTTGGGCCAGATTTGGGGGATAGTTACTTAGGCGCCTCCTTCCAGCGCGGGGCGGGGGGCGCAGCACCAGCAGCTGGGTCCCGCCCCGTTCCCGCCGCGCCCACCCACCTGTCCTGGGGCTGAGATGTGGCCGAGGGTTCCCCTTTGTCCCCAGAGTGCGGGCCGTGCCTCCCCGTGCACCTGCGTGCGGGCGACGCCCTCCTGCCCCTGCCCGCCGCGACTCTGGTGTGGACGCGGGGGAAGTGGTGGGAAGGGACCCTTGGCGTCACCCTTGCCCCACAGTCCCCAGCGGCTCTGCAGCAGCCTGGCCCGCGGTGCCCCCCAACATCCCCCTCCCCCTGTTGCATTACAGATCGTGACCTTGGCCTTGCAGCAGCAAAACTGATTTCTCTCGAACCATGGCCAGTGATTTGTTTTTGTGAAACCCTTTACAGCCTTGCGTTTGTGTCTGTCTCAGAAGACTCCCCTGGAGCGAGCCCCTGAGCCCTGAGCAATCAAGAGGCTTCCAGGGGAGGGAAGCCGCGCTGCTGAGCGAGGGAAGGCGCCGGGCAGCGCGGGCAGACATGGCCGGAGGCCTCTCCTCCAGTGCTGGGCTCTGCCCGCCGCCGATGGGGTGGAGCTGGGACGATGTCTTTGTGGTTTGTTGAGAATAATCAACAAACCGGCTAATGAGACTCTGCGGCTTCCCCACTCCTTTCACCCCGACTTAATGTTTACAAAGGCGTTCCCTGCACGAAAGGTAACTAGGCCAGGAGACCCGGCGCGAGGGTGTCTGGGCTGCCCCGTCCCTCATCGGGCTGCCCTCTGCCTGCCCTCCCCGGGCCTGGAAGGGGACAGGGGCCAGTTAGAATGAGCTTCTTGCTCTTTGGGAATTAACTCGCTTATTAAAAATATGCTAATATTGCTATCTTTTTTTCCTTTTGCATAGCAGTACTGGGGTGCAGGCCAGAGGTGTGGGGCGGGGGGTGGTGAGAGGACTCCCCAGAGACAGAGTGGGGAGCAGAACAGGCGGATCCACTGAAACCCACTGCTGAGGGGGGCAGCGGGGAGACAGGAGGGGTCTGCTGTGCCCTGTGGGTCAGCGCCCTGCCCGGGGATCGAGCTCAGGCTGCAGCGGTGTCAACCTGAGACTTAACCCCTGGGCCATCGGGGAGGCCCAGGGCCTAGGTTTGAACTACATTTTATCATTTTCCTTAGAAATAAGAAATACTTCCTGTGGCTGGAACCCAGCAGCTGAGCTGTAATCTGCATGAAAGGCTGTGTTAAGGAGGTGTAACTGGGAAGCAACTATTTGGTAAAGGATCACGTCATCAGTTTCCTAGAAAATCTGGCTGCCCTGGGAAGATGGCACCGCGTGATTGACACTGTGCTGACGACAGCGGATTCCCGGCCAGGCAGAGCGGCGTTTGGCGTGCCTGTCACTCCTCCCGCGTTGTCAGAGGAATCCTCGCTGCCCTCGTCACTGCTCGCGGCTAATGAGACGCTGCGGCAGTGTCATATTTACTCTGGCACTTACTCTTGATGTGATTATAAGTGGATTTTGTACCGGCTGCTAAATGGCTAGAGCTCATCCTGACATGTTTTTTAAGTTATGTTTTCCTTATAGTAATAACTCTGTTATTTTAAAATAAAAAACTAGGACTTATAATGACTGTTTTCGAAACTTAGAAATATGAACGTTTAAAATAGAAAGTGAGGGGGCCTCCCCGGTGGCGCAGCGGTTGAGCGCTGGGTTGCGAAGCTGCCCGCAGCCTCTGCAGCGCCGGTTCGATCCCCGGCTGCTCCGCGGCCACCGGAGGAGGGTCCCGCATGGCGCGCAGACCTCTCCTGCCGCCCGCTGCTCCCCTCAGCAGTGTACCTCGGTCCTTCTGCCTGCTCTGCTCCCCGCTCTGGCTCTGGTGGATTCTCTCACCCTCCCGCGCTTCTGACTGTACCCAGTGCTTGTATAAATAAATAAATCAATCTTTAAAAAAAAAAAATTAAAAAAAAAATAAAATAGAAAGTGAGGGCCAAGGCTGGAGCCCCGCACACCTTCCCCGGGCTGTGGGGACGGTGAGTGTGTGTGTGTGTGTGGGGGGCAGGTGTGCATCCACACACCCCTCCCTGTCCTGTTTAGCGCTTTACAAACGTAGTAGCCCCTGTGCTCTATGGCGGTGTGGTATTGTACTGTGTGAATCTGCTTTAATTCGCTTAATCATTCCCCTGCTGGAGGCGTTTATGTCGCTTGTGATTTATGCCCTTCCCGCTGGAAATAACAGCTGCACTGGGCTCGCTCCTTGGGGTGAGTGCCTGGAAGGGCAGCGTCGGGCACCCGAGTCTCCCGGAAGGCCCCTGTCCATAGGCCGCAGGAGCCCTGCAGCCTCTCCCTGGGGGATGTCCAGGGCTGTCCTGCTGGCGCCTATCGGAGCCCGGGATCCATCCTCATGCTCCCCAACACCCTCCCCCACCGCCAGCGGTGCGTGTATGTGACTTGTCAGAAAGGGAACGTGGCGTCCTGTCCTGTCCTGATCGCTGGGGCGGCCCAGAAGCCACGTTCTGTCCCTGGAAAGCAGGAGCCGCGGCGACCAGGACGTGGGGGCCCGGGGTGGGGGTCCCTCCAGTCGTCTGGCTCTGCACTGTCCCGAAAGCAAAAGGGAAGGTGTCACTTTGGTGTTTTCACTTGTTTGTAGTCAAAGGGCAGGTTTACTGTGAAGAGGGGAGGGGAGTCAAACACCTTGCCCAGATGCCAGTGGGCAGAGGGCGTCCCCATGGGGACAGCTGCGCGAGCGAGGCCTGCACAGGCCGGCGGCCGCGGCCCCTCTGCCACGTGCAGGGTCACTCCCCGCAAGGCCCAGCGTGTGGTGGGAGACGCCGCCTGGCCCGGCCCCTAGAGGCGAGGGGTCTAGAGGGACAGTCTGTCCCCGGCCCCCAGCAGTCTCCCAGCCCGCTGCTGTGCCTGTGGAGGAGGAGGAGGTGGGAGACTCTGGCGGCAGGGGTGGTGGGGCCTTTAGGGAGCCCCTAGGACACCCCCAAAACATGCTGTTCGCGTGTGCTCTCTCCAGCAGCCTGAGAAGCCCCGCGATGGTCTGCTCCGCGCTCAGCAGGGTCGCCCTGGCGCGGGTCTGCCTGGCCAGGAGGGCCAGCGGCACCTCCAGGGGCCACTCGCATCCAGCCCCGGCCCGCAGTCGGGCGGCCACGGAGCCTGCCGCCGCTGAGGCCCCGGGCACGGTGGAGCTGCTGGGCCGGTCCTACCCGCAGGACGAGCACAGCAACCTGAGCCGCCGCGTGCTGTCCCTGGTGGGCCGCAACCTGCACCGCCGGCCGCACCACCCGCTGGGGCTGCTGGCGCAGCGTGTCCGTGCGCACTTCCACGCGTGCTACCCGGGCCGCGGCGGCGCGCCGCTCTTCGCCGTGCTGGACGACCTGCCGCCCGTGGTCACGCCCTGGCAGAACTTCGACAGCCTGCTCATCCCCGCCGGCCACCCCAGCCGCCGGCGCGGCGACAACTACTACCTGAACCGCTCGCACATGCTGCGGGCGCACACCTCGGCGCACCAGTGGGAGCTGCTGCGCGCCGGCCTGGACGCCTTCCTGGTGGTGGGCGACGTGTACCGGCGCGACCAGATCGACCGCCAGCACTACCCCGTCTTCCACCAGCTGGAGGCCGTGCGGCTCTTCTCCCGGCACCAGGTGAGCCGGCGCCTGCGACCCCGCCCCGGGCTGCGCCCCCAGCCTGCGCCCACCCTGGGTCTTGCGCCCCACCCTGGGCCTTGCAGCCCCGCCTCCGGCACCCCCAACCCCGCGTCAGCCCCGCCTCGTGTAACTCTTGTTTTCCTTCTGGTATGCTCAGATGGCCCCAGGCGCTGGTCCAGGGGGCGCAGCCAGGCTGCCCGCCTCCTTCAGCGCTGCTCCCCCCAGACTCGGCAAAGCTTCCGCCCACACACCTGCCTTTGGGGTCACCGGGGAGGGCCAGTGGGGCCAGAGCTAGTGGGGCCGTTGTTGGGCTGGACTGACCCGTCAGGCGAGGGACATGCTGCTGGGCGCAGGTCACCCCTGCAGGGGACACGGCTGGCCCACGAGTAAGCCCCCCGCCTGTCACCCCCAGGACGCCACATCCAGAGACTGGGCGGGCGTTTCCAGCCATCGGCCAGCAGCCTCACGCCTGACCCTAGCAGGGGCTGCAGGCCCGACTCGGCTTCTCTTCTGGGCGCGTGCTCTGGCTCGGAGCGTGAGGACTGGACATGGGCCCTCTGTGTCCAGTCAACACCGCAGCTGACAGCTGCGCATGGGGGTGCCCGTGTCCCCACAGCCAGGCTGAAATGCCACATCCCAGAGCAAGTGGTCATGAGCAGCCCCGCACCGCCCTCTGCTTTACCACCGCCTGACCCGCGCACCCCCAGCACCCCAGCGGGTCCCGCGTGCTGCTCAGGACTCAGCCGGCCTTGTGACCCCCAACTCCCACACGCACCATATGTTAGCTCCGTGCCCGCGGCCGGCCGTTCTCAAGCGGGACTGTGTGAGGAGCTTGTGGGCCATGAGCTGGTGGTGCTGATCCTACAGGAAGACTGGAAATAAAAGAAAACGTAGCAAGTTTTAGGAGGGCGCCCTTGTGCAGCTGAAAGGGCGGCCCCACGCCCTGCCTGGATAGCCCTGCCGCCCTCCAGGGAGGGGCAGCTGCTCGCTGGACTGAGGAGGATGGCATTTTCCAACCACGCCAGCCCTGGCAGGATGCAGCAGCTCCCGCCTCGTCTCACCCCGCGAACGCTTGCAGACTGACCGGGCTGTGAAATGCCTTCGGTCTTGATAAATGAGGGCACAGTTAGCCTGGGGAGGCCGTAAATATTTCATGGTGAATATATAATTCATGAGGATCTTGCAGGAACAAAGGGGTGTTTATGAGGGGCCGTGCAGGTGCCCCCAGAGGGACGCCTGGGGCGTTCGCCCGAATCCTTGGCTGAGTTGCTCCTCGTCAGACGTCTGTGTCCACCTCCCTCCCACCCCGCGCCCCCTTTTAGACCACCCCTGGCACCCCCACCCCCCGCAGGGGCGTGGCTGGGCTCCCTTTCCCGGTGCCATCGCCTGGCAGCAGCCCCAGGACGCCCTGCACTGGTCCTTGCTTGGAGCCACTCTCCCTCATCACAGGCCCCCGCGCCCTCTGATGCGGCCCCTCCAGATGGCTCGTTAGCGCCTCCTGCTCTGCGCCTCCTGCTCTGCGCCTGCTGAGGCCCTGCTGGAGGCCCTGCGGCAGTTCTCTAGCCCTGCGTCCTGCCCGGCCCCTCTGCTCTCCAGGGGACAGGTCTGCCCGCGGCTGCCGGACTCCTCAGGAGCCTCTGGGAGGGCCTCGCGGCCTCTGCATTTGCCGGGAGAGCTGATGGCACCAGTCCCCTGATTTCCCCTTGGAAGCCTCTTCGGGGGCCACCTCCTGCCGCAGGCACTTACAGTGAAGTGGGTTGAAAAGATCCTCTTCCTCTGCCCTCTGCGCAGCAGCTCTAGGGTGTGTGCCGGGCGCTGCCCTAGCAGAGGCGGCAGTGGCTGTGGGGGTGGCCTTAGGGTTGGGGTGTCTGGGTGAGCGGGCCCCCCTTGGCACTGACCATTGCCTGTGGAGGGTGCAGGGCGCACGGCTCCTGGGGCTGGGGCAGGCTGAGGGGTCGCGGCTGGAGGCAGAGCTTGCAGCACTCACGAGGGGGCGGCCCCGGCCCCTTCTGCGCTGGGTCCAGATGCTTTGTTGTCGCCTCACCTGAGGCTGGAGCCGCGGCCGGAGTCACGGGACTTATGCTGGACAAGCGGGAGGGCGGCTGCCCTGCCGGGTTCTGCGCGGGAGACTTTCCCCGAGGGCGTCATGGCCCTTCTCCAGCCGGTCTTTCCCGGCACTTTGGGGCCGGAGCTCTTAGATGTGCAGGGACGCCCTCTGTCCCGCTGGCCAGCGTCCGGCGGCGAGCTTGGGCGTCTCATCCGGCCTCAGCCATCATGGGGGCAGGTCAGTGCAGCTGTTGGACGTGGTTCCCCACACACCGACGGGGGCTGCCGTGCTGACCCCGCCCGCGTCACCCGGTCGCTGGGCTCGCGCGAGCTGCTGTGGACACCACGTCTGCTCACTGCTCTTGTTCCTCTCGCTTGCAGCTGTTTGCCGGCGTGAAGGGCGGAGAAAGCCTGCAGCTCTTTGAGCAGGGTGCCCGCTCCGCCCACAAGCAGGAGACACACACCCTGGAGGCCGTGAAGCTCGTGGAGGCCGACCTCAAGCAGACGCTCACCCGGCTGATGACCGACCTGTTCGGGGACGGTAGGTGCCTGCGGCCTTCCCGGCCGGGCTCTGCGCTTCTCCTGCTCCTGTGTCGTTTCCATGTCTGCCCTGGCCCTTCTTTAGCCCCGGCCCTTGTTTAGCCCCTGAGAAATCCTTATTCTTTTTTTTTTTTTTTAAAGATTTATTTTTTTATACAAGAGCTGGGGTACAGGCCAGATGCGCGGGAGGGTGAGAGGATTCACCAGGGACAGAGCGGGGAGCAGAGCAGGCAGATTGAGTGAAATCCACTGCTGAGGGGAGCAGCGGGTGAGACAGGAGAGGTCTGCGCGCCATGTGGGTTTCTCTGGCAGCCGGCGGGGATGGAACCGGCGCTGCAGAGACTGTAGACAGCTTCACAGCGCTGCGCTCAACCGCTTGCGCCACCAGGGAGGCCCCGAAATCCTTATTCTTTTTACATTTCTTGCACGGAGTTTGTTCTCAGTGCAGGCTCGGGGGCAGGCTCGGGCTTCTGCTGCAGTGGCTTTGAGCTGAGACTGCGGCGCTGCGTGCTGGGGGTGGCGGTGCCGGTGCCGCCCTCTGTCTCACGCGGGCACTCGCGCCGGGGCCATCTGAATGGCTGCCTTGACTGGCTCCCCGGTCAGAGAGAGGGCCGAGGGGCTGGCTCACCCCGCGCACTCCAGTGGGGGGGGGTTTGACCTCTGGTCAGCAGACCAGGGAGGGCCCTCCAGGGCATTCTGCAGCGTGCTCTGTTTCCAGCAACACTAGCGGGGTGGTCACTGCCACCTGGTCCCTTCCCTGGAGGCGTCTGGGGCCTGGCGGGCCTTGGCAGTGGGCTCTTCCCTGCCCAGGTGTGCCTGTCCCAGCGTGCCCACGCGCTGACTGGCATGGCAGGAGCGTCCTGGCCTCCCACCCTTTGGGACGGGGCGCCCGCCTGGGCCAGCCTGCGAGCCCCCGGCCATGCTTGTCTGTCTCGGCCGTGGCGACGCGGGCAAAGCGCAGGTGGCCAGCTGCATCTCCTGGATCTGTGTGCAGCAGAGTCTCCTCCTGCCTGGCCTTCCGCCGGGCGCCCCCCATGTCCACACACCCCAGTTCTGCCTGACACCCGGGTGTGGCTGGTGGTGTGTTTCCCACCCACCTGTTGGTGGGCGCTGGACCGCGTCCACGGCTTGGCTCACAAGTAAACCTGCTGCAAATATTGTGTGTCATCGTGCGGACATATGTTTCTGCTGCTGCGTGAGTCCGTGGGGCTGGAGCGACTTAAGGCAGGTGTGTGTTTAGCTTGTAAGAAACTCCAAGTGTTTCTGACACGGTGACGCCATTTCCGTTCCTGTGGCTGCGTGCGGGGCAGCAGCTGCGTGCAGCTTCACGGGCCTGCGTGTGGGTGACCGTTGGAACCTCGGCCACCCCGATGGGACGGGGCTTCTGGTGCGGCCGGCGACGTCGGTGCGGTGGGCCCATGTGGCACATGGACCTGCTCTTTTGTAAAGCGCCCCAAACCTGTGCGTGTTACAAATTGATTATTATTGGCGTTTGAAATGTCTGTATGTTTTCTTGATCCAGTTGTTTATCACATCATGTGGCTTTTCGAGTATTTTCTTTCAGGCGGTGCTTTTCATTTTCTTAACAATGTCTCTCCACGACGAAAGTCCTTAATTTTTTTCCCAAAGATTTATCTATGCGGACAAGTTTCTTACAAGCTGAACACTCACCTACCTTTAAGTCGCTCCATCCCTACGGACTCATGCAGGAGCGGGGACATGTGACTGGGGTGCAGGCCAGAGGTGTGGGGGGGTGAGAGGACTCCCCACAGACAGAGCGGGAGCAGAACAGGCGGACCCACTGAGATCCATGCTGAGGCAGCGGTGGGGAGACAGGAGGGGTCTGCTGCGCCCTGGGGGTGGCTCCCTGGCCGGCCGGGGTTGGAACTCGTGCTGCAGAGGCTGCGGACAGGTTCACAGCCCTGTGCTCAACCCCTTGCGCCACCGGGGGGCCCACTCAAGTGTGATTTTTGTAGGTATGACTTTCCTCAGTTGTCTAGGGCTTGTGATTGGTTGAATTTCTTGGCTCTTTAGACATTTTTCATCAAGTTTGAGACTCTGAATGATGTCTTCAGATGTTTTCTGTTGCTCCCCCTTCCTTCCTTCCTGCGGGGACTCCAGCGACGCGACGCTCGACCCCATGAAGCGTCTCGGCACTGCACCCCGCTCTCTGCCCGCTGCGGCCAGGGTTTGCCTTGTGCTTCCTCTCGAGTCGTGTCCCCTGCCGTGCGTCCAGGTTCGCCAGCCGTTTTCCCGCAGTGTCGAGACTCTTAATCCCCCAGTGTCTTTCTCACCGGCTCATTTCAATTAACGTGTAAAAAGCCCCTGCTCTGTCTCTGCCCAGCATTTGCCGTCTTTATTTCGTCTTTCGCCCTGTCAGAGGCCATCAGCGCGCGCCTGCAACTATCGTTCTCTGCTTGTTCGGCCATCTGTGGTGTTTCTGGGTGAACTGCTGTTGTTTCCTTTCTTCCCGCATCCTGGCGGCGCCAGCACCGGGCTTTGGCCTTGTCACGCCGCCGTCTTTGTGATCCTGGTGTCTGCAGGCTCTGGGGCGCCTGGGAGACGCTGGGGTCTTCCTGCTGGGATCAGGTGGCATTTTAGCCTGTGGCCGTGTTTCCCACAATGGACGCGCGGCCTCTCGTAGCGCTGCCGTGGGGAAATGTGCCTTACGAGGCTTTCCCCTTGGCCGCGGGCAGCTGGCGCTGTTCCCGGGCCCACGAGCTCCCAGCGTCATCCCTCATAATCCGTCCGTGTGGTTTGTCCCCGGCCGCCAGCGATCCCCCCACATCCGCACGCAGCCTCCGCTTGGACACGGATGGGGCCTCCGCGGGTCCTCAGGGCCCCCTTCCTGCGGCTCCCCTCTCCCCCACCCGTCTGCGACGCCCCCCGCCCCGTGTGACGTCTGCTCACCCTGCCTTGCTGGGACGCCGAGCCCTGTCTCCCCGCCTGGGAGGCCTCCTGGGCCTGGTGCCCTTGGTCAAGTCTGGACACCCCAAGTCTGTGGCCCGGTTTCCTGCGCCACGCCCAGCCTCCGGGCTTCTCGCCCCGAGGGATGAGCGGCCGCAGCCCCTGCTGGGGGGGCTCTGTCCCATGGCACTCGACCGCTGCCCCTTCTCGGCGGAGCTGGTTAGAGACGGGTGAGCCCTGAGCGCACCGCCGCCTCGGGGCCGCTCGCCAGAAAAGCGGCACATGGGAGCCCCCACTCGCCCCAGCTCGCCTCGGGACCCCACAAGCATCCTGACCTGGGAACCCTGGGCCGTGTCACGGAGCCGTCAAGCTTGGTGGGCCCAGGCCCGGACCCTGAGTCTCTGCCCCGTATGGCCGGGGGCCCTGCCCGGGGCCGCTCCCTCCTTGTCGCCGCCTCTGCTTGGCTCGCTCCTCCCTCTCAGGGCCACGGTGGGTCCTCCCTTGCGCGCGCGGCCTGGAGTCCAGACGAGGCTTTCCAGGGAAGGCCGCCCCGCAGCCTCGCGGGCACACTTGGGCAGGGGAGGCTCCCCCCCGGCTCCTGCCCACGCCCTTCAGGTCCCCGGCCCTGGCTCCCCGGGCCCTGGCTCAGCCTCAGCGCCCCTCCCGACCCCTGAGGGCGGCTCCTGGCCCCCAGCCGGTCCAGGCCCCAGCCCAGCAGCCCGGCTGTCGCCCCCTTCACCCCCTTCCCTGCACCTTCGTCTGCTTCTGGCCTGGCGAGGGCTTCCTCCTGCCTTCCATGGGCCGTGCCTCCCTCCCTCCCTCCTCTCTGCCATCCCTGCCCCTCTGTTTCCTTCCCCTCCCTCCTGCCGGGTGTTTCTGTCAGGAGCTGGGCGCCCCACGCCTCTGTGCTCCCCCTGCTCCCCTGTGCTCCCCCTGCAAGGCCTGAGCCTGGCCAGCGCCGCATTCCCCGTCTGCTCCAGCGGGGGGCAGCAGAGGCCCGTGCTGGCCCGCACACCTGGTCTGGATTCTGACCTTGGCGTTTGCACCTGGAGGTTCGCAGTGGCGAGGGCGTCCAGCCGCAGCTTTGGGGTGCACCAGTAGAGGTGGGGGCCCTGCCAGCCCCACAGCCTGGCGTGACCGCGGCAGCCAGGGCCACGGCGACCCTGCGACTGTGTGTGGCCTTGGGGCTCCTCGCGAGCCCGCTGGGCGATGTTTGTGCAGTCGCAAGAGCACGCCCTTGCTGGCTGCACATCCTTGCTGGCCACACGCCCTCTGCTCTGCCCGGAGGCGCGGCCCTGAGCCTGCAGGGCAAGCGGCTCGCAGAAAGGGCTCCTGCCAGCGTGGCCTGCTGTCTCGTGGCTGGGCGGTCACACCACTGTCCCGAGCGCCCTCCCTGCCTGATGAGGCGCAGCCTGGGCAGGGGCTGGGGGCGGCGCACCTGCAGGGACATCACCGGCCACTTGCATGCAGGGGTAGACGCACCTGGTGCTCGGTGACGCCGCTGTAAGGCGAGTCCGGATGGAGGTGGGCGCTGTGGGCTGACCCCAGGTGCTGGCCCAGGCAGGGAAGCCGATGGGCAGGAGGGCAGAAGAGGCTGCCGCTCAGCTCCAGAAGGGCGTCCTGTTCCTGGTGGGCTGGCGAGCCCCGTCCCATGGCGTCCAGCTGAGGCTCCCTCTGCTGCGCGGGGCCCGCCAGGCCGTAGGCGTGCTGTCCGCAGGCCCCAGAAGTGCCGAGTGTGTCCCCCGTTGGGAGAGATGCGCCGGGTGGTCCCGTCTGAGCTCTGTCGCCTCCTGACCCAGCGCGTCCTGACTTGTCGGCTGTTTGTTCTTCCCAAACGCAGTCCCCGGCTGACCGCACCTGTGTCTTGCAGGGCTGGACGTGAGATGGGTGGACTGCCGCTTCCCCTTCACGCACCCGTCCTTCGAGATGGAGATCCTCTTCCGCGGGCAGTGGCTGGAGGTGCTGGGCTGCGGGGTCATGGAGCAGCAGCTGCTGAGCTCAGGTAGGGGCCCGGCGTGCGTGGGTGCCCTCTGGGGACACCCCGCCCCACACTCAGCCTCGCGTGCTGCGTGCTCGTCCACACGTGTTCGTCCTCCTGCGGCCCTGTCCGCAGCACTGAGTCGCTAGCCCTGGGCGCTGCGTTCCGCGTCCCGGCCGTGCACGGTGCTGTGGTTCCGAGGTGCTCCTGCGCTGTCCACGGCGCCTGTCTGCTCAGAGTCCACCCGCTGCGTCTTGGCGGGGCCGCCCACCTTCCTCCTGCCTCCAGGCCGACTGGTCGTGGCTCTGGAGGGACCCCCTCAGCAGCTCCTGTCGTGGAGAGCTTGCTGCCGGGGGGTGCCAGCTTGACCCTGTGGAAGGCGATGCCGCAGGCGCCGCCATCCTGGCCCTGAAGAGCCCAGTCAGGAGGAGCCCTCTCGCTCCGCCACACCGCTCAGCAGCGCCCCGGGCAGCTGCATGTGCCGAGGGGCCCTTTTGTGGCCCGCGCTGTGTGGCCATCGGCCCCTGGGCAGGCAGGGCCACCTGGCCAAGGGGGCCGGGACTGGACGTGCTGGTCAGCGTCTGCCTCGGGCAGGGCCTTGCCCGCCTCTCTTCTGCAGGACCGCTGCTTCCTACAGGCGATTATTCTGATTTTTAGAGCAGTGAGTGTTTTGCAAGTCACCATCTGAGTGTAATTAAAAGTCTGTGTTTTCAGACTAAACCCTCCCTGGGAAGTGGGTTGGGACTGAGCGCTGGAGAGGGGCCAGCTGGGTCTGCAGTAACGGGGAGGGGCGCTGAGTGGACCCCCCCAGAGCTGGCCAGCACCTCTGCTGCAGGGTGGACATGAGCGAGCCCTCCTGGGCTGAGGAGTGTGGGCAGTCCTGGGGCCAGCTGGCAGCAGGGCGAGGGGCAGCCCCCCGAGGACAGGTGGTGGCAGTGTGGTGTGGAAATTTGTGGTGCCTGGCCCGGACAGAAGCGCCCAGAATTCTCTCCAAGCTGCCGGGAAAACTGGGGGGTTGAGGAAACCACTACGGGCCTCGGGGGTGGCCTCCAAGTCTTGGAGTCCGTCCGGGAGAGAAGGGACGTGGGGGCTGCACAATGGGGTGGGTGAGTGGGTGTCCCGGAGCCGGGCTCTGCTTGGGGTCCGTCCTTCCTGCGGTGGCCAGGCACGTTGCGGAACACCCCGCCCCCAGGGGTGAGGAGATCAGTGCCACTGAGCGGTGCTCCTTTGCTCCGGGCCCCCGGGCTGCTCCGTGCGGCTGGCTGGCCAGAGCGGAGGCCCGAGCCAGTCCCTCTGCCTGCTGTTCCCGGAGCAGCCTCTTCTCCGCTGGAAGGTCTCAGCACCCAGAGAGGACATGCTGGCTGGAGATGCACGGGTCTGTCTTTGGCCGGAGGTCTGTGTCCTGTGCCAGTGCCACACTTGCCACACTGCTTTGATGACCGTAGTTCTGCAGTAAGCTCTGAAGCCGTGGAGTTGAGTCCCGCGGCTTTGTTCTGCTGCTGTTCCTCTTTGCGCCTGGCCACAGACATTCTTGCTCCGGCACCTCCCCCTTCAAACACGTGTCGTCATTGAGACTCTGGGTCTCATTGTCTGTCTGGAGGCCTCCCTGGGGCCGCCTTCTGAAATGCTGCTGATGTGTGAAGGCTCGTGCGTGCACACGCGTGTGCATGAGGCCTGATGTGTCTCAGCCTGGGTGTGGCCGCGGTCAGCCTGGGCCAGGGCTTCGTGCCACTGTGTGACTCTGCCATGGCGTCGACTGTGCGTGCGCGGCCCCCGGCGGGGCTTCCTGCCGCGGCTCACCCGTCTGCTCGCAGCCTTGCTCCCGCTTTGGGCTTTTCGTTTCTCTCCCAGAAAAGTCACTTTTGCTTGCATTTGCTCATAAAATCCCTGCATCCCCACCCGCTTTCCTGCTGTTTCCAGTTCGGGCAGTGCAGGGGCCCGCAGTGCTGGCCTCCCCGGCCTGATCTCCACGGACGCGCCATCGTGCGCGGGCCCGGCCCGCCGCGGTGGAATCGCTGCAGCTCGCCCGTGCGCTGTGTTTACACAGAGCGAACAAACACGCGTTACATTCCGAGAAAATTCAATTAGTCCTGTCTCCAGGAAGCCCGTTCTGCTTGGTATTTAATTCTCAAGTAAGCCGGCAGATGAACTGCCAGGAAGAGTCAGGGCTCTGAGCGCACCGCTCCGGCTGCGCTCCCGGGGTGGGGGCTGTGGGGCCCTCGCCAGCTCCGCGCCTGCTGGGCCGGGGCAAGGCTGTCTCAGCGGACGGGGCTCGGTGAGCTGCCGCCCCCGTGCCGGAGTGGAGGAGGAGCACCAGGGAGCACGCTCTCCGCCCTCGCCGCCTCGTCAGAGGTAGACTCCCTGGAGCCTGGCAGCCGCTCGCCCGAGCTCCTGGGGACGGGCCTCATCCAGGCTCCACGCTGGTGATTGTCCAAGTCCTGAGACTGGGGCTCGGGATTCAGCAGGAGACGGGTGTGGCGGATGGGAAGGAGGATGGGAAGGAAGGGGCTCTTTGCAGGGGTCGGGCGGGGCCTGTGCGGAGTGTGAGGCCCCTGTGTCCTGGATGCAGCCTGGGGGCGCAGGGTCCCGGGAGTTTGGGGGCCCCGGGGGGCGTGGAGGCCTGGGAGTTTAATCTTCCTTGATTCCTCGATGAACGTCGCTCTATCAAAGCAGAACAGATCAAAGCCTCTCACGGCAGCAGCAACAGAACACTCTGAAATCCAGCTGCCTTGTAGGTGCCGGCCTCTTGCGCGGCCGAGGAAACGCCCCGGCTGCGTGCGCGCGTTTGTGGTGTTGGGCGCCCGGCGGTTTCCTCTGCCCACCGGGGTTGTGGTCGCAGACGGGTCCTCCGCCGTCACCCTCAGCGCCGACGCAGAGCCTGGTCCGGCCGTGTCAGGCGGCTGGTGCTGCTCGGGAGACACAGTCCCGCGAGGCCAGGGCTGTCTTGTGGCTGCGCGCCGGTAGCGTCCCCGGCCTCTCCAGGCGCTGGCTGTGGTCCTGACCTCCTCGCTCTGGCCGCTGGCCCTAGCCCTGGCCTCTCCTGCGCCCTGGCCACCCTGGGCAGGCCTTGGGGTCTAAGCCCGGGCCCGCCCTCCCGTGGGGCAGCTTCCTGTCCCCTGTCTCTGCGCCAGCCCCGCCCCTGGACTGCGAGTGCAGGAGGGCAGTGCCCATGGCCCCCGCGTCCACCGGGACAGCGCAGGGCCCCTCTCGACCCGCAGCCCGGGTGTCGCTGCGGCCTCGGCTGCTCCTGCCCAGAGCCGCGGTGCGCCGGCTCCTGTGTAGCTCGCCTGCAGACGGTCACCACGCAGCTTTTTGATTTTAAATCTTTGCAGAAGACTCCAAAAAGCCACTCCGAATAGGACTCGAGCCTCTATTTGTTGCCTTTCAAAATACGTGCACTCTCAGCGCCAGGGGAGGACGTCTGAAGCAGGCGGCTGGTCTCCGGGGAGGCCTGGCTGTGCGGCCGCGGCACCGCTCTGATGTGGCTACTGGGGGGCTTCAGAGCGGGGCTGGCGAGTCCCAGAGCCCCAGGGCGGGCCCGCCGCGGGGGGACTCGCTTTCCTGCTGCTGACCAGAGACTGGGACGTCGCCCCGCCCTCACGTGTGGGGCCCCTGAGGTCCTCAGCCTTCCGAGAGACCCTCTTTGGCGACCTAGACACGGCTGCTTCCGTTCCTGGCTCTGAATTCTGTGGGGCACTGAGATCGCAGAAAAGTGGGGGCTGGGCTGGGGGCTGGGCAAGATCCCTGACACGGTGTCAGGGGCCCACACAGCTGTCCGTCCACCCCGACCCCCCATGCTGCGAGTGCCGGAGGGGCCTTGACGCCTGGGCCACATCTTCCTCTGTGAAGGGGAGTTCACCGCTCTGGTCCCGCTGAGCCCTCGACCGGCGTCCGGCTCGCATGATGGTGGCAGACACGTGTAAGGACCGACATCGGCCCCTCGTGCTCGGCGAGGACTCGAGTACCAGTGCCATGGAACCATGCCAGGCCTGTAAGGAGAGGGACGGCGCCCCTGTAGGCTCGTGGGGAGTGCTCAAGCACCAGTGCCATGGGCGGGGGTGCTGGGCCCGCAAGTGCTCCGTGGCCCGGCTCTTGGGGCTCCTGTCCTGGCCCCCGCTGCTGTGCAGGGGTCTCAGCTTGCAGCCCCCCCTTTGGGGGAGGCGCGGGGGCTCCCCTATCTTGCTGACTCCCACTCCCCCGCGCTGCAGCTTCTCTTCCTGCCCTGCGGAGCCCTCCAGACCCGCAGACGGCTGACGGGGCCGGGGCTTGCTCCGGCAGTGTTTGCCAGCGCCCCTTGGTGTGGTTGCTTGGGGTCCCTGTGTTGGCTTCCTGGAGCTGGGCTCACTGACAGCGGGGTCTGGGGTTCATTTATTTAGTTCTTAATCCCCCGAAGTCCCGGGTTGCTGGACTGGATGAATATTTAATGACCTGTAATGAACAGGATTGGCTTCCTGGCTGGCTGAGTTGTTGAGGTGGAAGTAAGCTTGTGGCGCTCATCCCTGTTCTCTGGGGAAACTGAGTCACGGGACACCTGGCAGCTGTGAATTGCCCTCCCAGCGAGGCTGCTCTTGGGGAAGTAGCCGAGAAACAGAAGTGAGCGGTGAAAGAGCATCTCCTTTTAAAAAGCTTCCGTCTCCGTGTTCCCTGCTTTCACACTCAGGTCTGTTGTGCAAATTATGCTTTGTTTGCTGCCTTCCCCATCCCCCCAGCCAGGAGGGCTGCTCGGGTCTGCGGGGCCGGGGAGGTGCAGGCTATGGGGAGGCTCTGGCCCGGCCCGTGGGGCTGACACCTGTGGCACCGTCTCAGCCACGCAGCCCTGGAGCGGCCTGTATGTCTGCCCCGCGCAGTGCCCGGCCAGCCCCGGCCCCGCCCGCCTCTCCCTGCCTTCTGCTCCCAGGCACACCTGGTCCTGGTCAGCACCTCAGGGGGCCGCCCTCGCTGACAGGCCAAGGGGAGCTGTGCCCCAGGGTGGGGAGCATCTGCCCGCTTGCAGCAGACCGAGGCGCTGTGTGCTCCCAGGGGTG